CTCATGCCGCTCAAAAGTCCTACGAATTGTCCACTGAATTTTGGATTTGATGATGCATCAATTGTTTTCAGCCTCTTGCAAGATGCAGGTGCAGAGAAAATCTTCATTGAAAACTTTACACTTTTATATGGTGGAACATTGTTCTCAAATATCTAACTCAATAGTTAGAATAAGGTTTCAGCAGCATTATCTCTGGACTCCTTCACTTCCCTCAGAAGTGAAGGAGTCATGTTACTTAACCCCCTTGTGGCCCACCATGTTCTTCTGCTGTGTCTTTTAAGAACCATTAATAGAAAGGATGCCACCATCAAAGTCAATACAGGCTCATAGTTTTCATGGATAGTAAAATGAATTACTTAAACATAATAAAAAATGTTTCAAACAGATTCAAAAACATCTATTGTATTTATCTAAAAAGTTTTAAAAATTTAAAAACAGGCTATGATTTTTTTTTTTTTTTTTTTAAATACATTAAAATAATATAGATGGAATATACTTTAATTCATTTATGAGAGCAGAACACATTGAGCACGTGCATCACCCAGTAAAGCTTAGTTAGTATGCTATCCAACGTGCAGGTGTTAAGATGCATATGAAATTATTCATACAAAAGCAGAACACACAATCTCTCTTACCCATTCCCCAAGAGTTTGGAAAACCCCTGACAGCTTTCCAAATAAGCTGAACAAGCTCTTAGAAAAGTATAGGAAGACAGTTAAATAATGCAATTAAAGAGGAACTATGTGCCCGTAAAAATAACTGAATGGGCCAATGTCGACTAACAACTAGATTTCTAGTCACCTGTTTTTCTCCAGAGCCTCTGTTTACTGAAAGACAATTTTAAGAAACAAAATGAGAGGGAAAAAAGGTGGTATTAAAAAAAGACAATAAGAAGAAAATGGCTCCCTCTTTCTAACCTGCACAAAGTGCTGACAGATACCTGTGACACGCACACCTCAAACTCAACCAAGATGGGACAGTTAAGCCACTTACTCACAGTCTCACTAACCAGAGCTGGTGAGAGCTGGAGGCACAGGTAGCTCCCAAAGTTTGGTGTTGGCTGAAAGCTTCTGAATATAAACATCATCCACACTCAGCAGGATATTTTCTGGCTTGATGTCTGTGTGGATAATCTTGCATTTAGTGTGCAGGTAATCTAAACCTTGCAGAACCTGTGATGAGGAATGGATACACGGTTACCATCATTGTACTTCATGCCATTAAGGTAGAACAACAGACAACTATCCATTCACATCTAAGTCCGAGGATGATTCAATGAGAAAAACACCTGTCTGAGAATGCTCCGGACGCAAGGCAGTGGGAGACCAGTGTAGTTGGATTTGATAATCCATTTCAGCAGCTGGTGGCCCAAAACCTCCAGAACCATGCACACATCTGACAGACCATTAAGGACCTTATTTAATACCAGAAAAAATAGAGCTTCTTTTGTTTTTGGATGTAAAGCTCACTCCACTGACTGTGTGTCTGTGCAGTTTCAGACACTGATATAGTTTGTGGACTATCTTCATAAAGGATACGCTCTCCTGTCACTCCAGATAACCTGAAGTCATCAATGAGGTGCACAATTCTCTCACGTTTAGGATCTTTGGAGTCACTGTCCCTGACCTGAGGAATTGATATATATGACAAACATACTGGTGAACACACAAAATGTAATGCCTGGTGTCTGCATGTGGAATGTAGCAGTTTTCTTGAAAGACTTGAACCAAATTCATACATATATTAAGAAAAGAAAAGCCATACTGACACATTTTAGAAGTTTGATCTCATCCAGTGCAGTCTCTGTGAAAGTCTGAGCACTCTTCACCACCTTTAGAGCCACAAACTGCCTCGTCCTACACACACAATTATGTCCGTCAATTACTATAATATATATATCAGTATTCTGAATGCAGAGTCATGTAAGCTTGATCTTTTACTCACACCATATCCCAGCAGAGCCAGACGGTGGAGAAGTGACCCCATCCCAACTTTTTAACAACCTGGTAACGGTCAACAAAGATTTCTCCAATCTCTATAGGGTAGTAACCACCTGTGATTCAATCCAGAGCAGACACAGTGAGCATTTAAACCACTGGGATGGATCTCATCGCTTTGGTCTAACCTACCTATACCGTAGTCTTCCGGATTCTCCTGTTGCTCATCGTAAGATGCAAGAGGCTCCTGCAGACGAGGAAGACTCTGCGACGCTGGATGGTTGAGGTTGTCCTCAGGTTTAGGAGTAGGTGCTGTTTCCGCCGAGGGCAGAGGACTGGGTTCAACACCCAGATTAGAATGGCTGGCAGAAAAAAGGGCTGATATGGCAGCCGCGTATGATGAAGACATGTTTTACTGAAGTCAGATGAGTCGCAGCTCAGCTGAAGATGCGTCAAGATGGCAGCAGCCCACAGGGAACAAGCTGCAAAAAACAAAGGCATGTTTATGTTTTTTGGCCACTGTTCGATTGGCACCAGTTTGATTCTATACAGACTGCAGCAGGTTGTTTGCAATGCCATTTTGAAAGGTCCGGTGGATGTGTAGGGTTATTTTTAGCTGGATGAGTGGCATGTCAACGTAAATAGCCCCGACACTGCCCCAGCTGCAACTGGACTCTGCCTGAGTTTGTCTGGTGTTGAAGTGTGGGAGCTGCTGTTGTTAACCAAAACATATCATGGGTTCAACTGTTTTAATCAACAAATCTCCCATTCTTCTTCAACAATTATCTCATCGAGACAAAAAAAAGCATCAAAACAATAAGTCTCCCACACATTTATCAACAGTGGTTATTAGTGTTATATCCTGTCAGATCTTCATACGGCATACAGATGTTAAGTAGCTTATCATAGCTTGATTTACTCAAATAAAAAACATGCAAAAAATTTCAACAAATAGTTTTACGTGACTCATGGGATTTCCGGTGGAATCCAAAGCAAAGTTATTAATGTTTATCGACTAAAATGACAGGGAAATATATATTAGATACAGCAGATCCAGGGGCTCAATTTATGTTTTGTTAAAGATATCTAATAATATTATCTACAGTATGGGGACATAACAGTGAGGCATTTGCAACCGTATCAAGCTATGAAGGTAAAAGGGACATACCACCACATTCAAAAGTTTCAACTGAAGCACACCCTTTCAAAAAGTCAGTTTTATAGTGTCAGCAAAGACGGCTTCGTCCTACCTTGAGTTGTAGCCCACGTTCACAAAGCTCCCGCTACAGTGCTGATGCTCTCGTCTGTCAAAGGGGGAGAAAGAATATTTGCAACGCCAAAAGTAGGCACGAGGACGGCCGAGTGCCTCGGCCCGCGTGCCCTCTGCTCGCCGCTCCTCCGTGTGACTGCGAGGTCTAGGAATAGCTAACTGCCGCCGCCACTCGGAGAGCGTCTCTGGTAACCGGCTTTGCTAGGATGTTTTTGTTTTTTGTCTCCCCCTTCTGTTTCATATATTTGACCATTTTAATAAAATAAAAAAAGTTTTGGTATACTGTTTAAGCACATTGCCCGAATATGGTACATTTTGTTACTATAGAGACAGTTAATTGTTCGCATTCCATTATTACTGTAAACGCCTCTTCGTGGCCCTTTTCCACAGGTGTTTTTAATTGAAGCACTGATTAGGCCTCTTCTCCTGGATATCTGTATTCAGTCATTTGCACTCGTTGGAGATTATCACCAGTTTTCTGATAAAGTTTGTTGGAATTAAATCATGTATTGTATGGTAAAGGTGGTTCTTTCTTTTTTCTTTTAAAATTGGGTACAGGAGACATGTCGCTCTAGTCTGGAGTGTGGTGTGAGGCTTCCATGCTAGGGCTACACTGGAAAAACAAAACACGTTACGTGTCTCTGACGCTTTTCAACTACTGCCAACTTGGCACGCCACGGCTCTGCACCGTACCTTGGAATTTCCACTATAGGGACTGACCCCAATCCATGGCTGCCACTTTGTAACCTACTCCGCTGGCGTTCCATCGGTTTGAGTAGGGTCGGCGATACTACCGGGAGCTGATTGGCCAGGTCACATGATTAGACGGCGGCTCTGTCAGGCAAACCCCGCCTATTTTCCAAACGCGGCAACAACAAACGTCTAATTTAATTATTTCCATAATCATGAACGTTGTAAATATCTCTTACATGAACCAACACCACGGTCTGACACGGCGTTTATGGGGTTTATAATTGCCGCGATATTCTTCAATGTTGTCTCATTTTTGTGTCGCGCATTAATGACGTCAGGCGCCGGAGCCGTGTTTCCGTTCGGCCGTATGTTTTGACCGTGGGCAACTACTGAATCAGCATTGTCTACAGACCCTTTCTCCTGTCTAGAAACAGATGGAGCGTGACAACAGACCTTTACAGCTGTTGACTCTGCCCCTTACTCTGACACTGACCAGGGGCCTGTGTAAATCATGGCTGACAGTGATAAGAGAGGCTATTCATAGTTTAATGTACAAATCAGGGATGGAATGTAATATCCAAAGGAACTCCAGTTAGATTATGTTATTACATGAGTAAAATATATTTCCCAAACTCAGATAAGGTCTAGTTTTCCCATCAGAAAATTCACCCCTCTTATTCTATCAACAAATCATGCTCTATTGAGATGTCCATTTACAATAAAGTCAATTGTCACTGTATATCACTAGGGATGTGCATGTACAATTATTTGCTTCAACAGCTTTTCATTTATAAACATTTGATTAAGTGATAAATACAGAGATGTTTTTCCATATTGCTTGATTCGTAATTCATATTAGGAGGAAATTTATCTCTGGTATTAAGTATCACCACTAGGGGGCAGTGTTTTCAAAGAAAATTGTCTTCAGGTCAACTCCGAGGGCTTTAACCGTACACTCAGACTACACATATTGTCTATGAAATAATCAACCATTTTCTGGAATTTTCCCAATTGTGACATTTTGGAATCGGCAAACATTCATCCATCATCTATACCACTTATTCTTTGTGGTGCCGTGCAACCTATCCCAGCTATCAACAAACATGTTATGCATTTGATGTTTTTTCAACATGACACTTTATTTAGTAGAATGAATGCACAGTCTCATACATACAACAGAGAACAAGCCTATTAAGTCTAATTCCATAGGCCTGATTTGGAAGGGACAAATGTAAGATAAAACAGTGGCACTTAAATGCCTTCTTTTAAAAAAAAAAAAAAAAAAAAAGTAATCCAATATTAACACATCACGCTGCTGAATGAAATATTTTACACACAATGGCAATTCCCAAACTGTTGATAAAGAGCTACAGTAGATGGCTACAAAATGTTATAGGTTCATAAATATAATATAGTTTGAATACATCTTCAGAGCTAAATTTATATAATTTATTTCGAACTTACAGTGTACATAATATGAAAAATACCTTTCTGACCCCCAGTGCACAGCAGTTTGGTCTTTGTTTTCAGATTTTAAACGAGCTGAAAGGAGCTTTGCGAAGCTGCAAACTAAAATGATGTGAACCCATGACAGAAAAAGGAAAGGGGTAACAATAGTCCAGCGTGCTACAGTTTGTTACCAAGTATAAAAACACCACTGAATACATGTCTCAAAGGTTACATTCAAATTAGTCACACAATGGATAAAAATCAAGTTAAAAAAGACAATAAAATATACCACATAATGTGTGACAGTTGTTTTCGGTTTCCATTGAAGACGTTTTGTATTTTTTTCATTTTCTTTTCTTAATACGCCAATAAGATTCATTCTAAACATGAAGAGAAAAAACTAAAAGTAAACTTTCTATAAAAAGGAGGAGACCAAAAAATGAGAATACCACAAGCAGTGAGTTTTTTCAAATATCAGCATTAATTCTTAGAAATAAGTGTAATGGTATGAGACCTGCTCACACCATCATTTATACTGCAGCAGTTCTGTTTTGTTCAAATAATCGACCAGTTAACTAGCACTCACATGGGGGTGGAAGGATTACTGGAGATCATTTTGATTAAATACAGTATTATGTGGTTAATTTTGTTGTTAGCATGAAAATAAAATGTTAGGACTCCCACTTAAAATTCCCTCTATATACAAACTTACACTCATGTTTACCAGCAGTAAAATGAGAAAAAAAACAACTCAATTTCTTAAAATTTGCCCTTCTACAAACCCTGTCTGATCTATCCTGCTGCCCGTAAGCTTTCTTGGTGACAATTTCATGGGGAATTAAGGCTTAAGATGTTCATAAAGTGCTCTGAATCACACTCAAATTCTCCACAAATAAATCCAGCTATTTGTTGTGCAGTCATGTGCTACAGCCATACGGCAGCTCTAACCAAGTTTGTTGTTTTCCTTTTTTACAGCTGATTTAATTGGTCTGTCATCGTTTGCACAGAGAAAGCTACATTTATAATCCAGCGCTGAGCTGAAAGCAGAAAGCTAACCAAAAACAAACCCAGTAGGTATCAATCGAAAGATCCTAATTGAGTGACATCTTAAAACGGAGTCCGCTTTTGATTAGACAAAACTCACAGAGGCTCAATGCTAGCACTTCAAAGTTTTCTACCCAAGGTTCAGTTGAGATATTAAAACATTTAGGCACTCCTGTCTACACATGTCTAGCTACAGTCTATGGCAAATTTGATTTTTTTTTAAACATATGATGGGAAATAAAACATAAAAGGACAAAATGGTCATGTAACAACAAATAAGCACTGAGGCATGATTTTTTGCGTCTTTTATAGTTTAAAAACACACATTCAATGGCATGTCATAATTTTTTAAAAATGAAGTGAGATGGAAACATCTATCACACTATTAATTAGCAATAAATTAACTTATTAATATAGCTGTCATTATCTCAGAAGATAGAAAATAGTCATTGAGAGACGTATATATTCTGTAAAAAAATTATATCTTGGGAATCTTCTCGGGGTTATTCGGGGAGGGGGGGATGGTTGCTGCTTATACTGGACCAGAAGTATTTATATATGAAATACAGAATGACCATATTGGTGCGCGATGCTCTGAAAGTCAGCTTCAGTGCACGTCGACATAACACAAAGTTTAAAGTTGACTTTGAATTCTAGGAACTTTCCAAAGTTTATTCAAAGTACAGATTCCATCTATTACTCCGTTCTCATTCTGCTGAGGTTGCCATGTTTTGTTTTGCTTTTGAGGTCACATTGTGTCAGCTGTGTATCTGTTTCATGATGCAGGTCAAGTGAGGCTACAGTGTCTTTGCTCATATAATGTGGTGTGTGTTTACTTGTGTCGGTGTATTCTGCTGCCTCAGACCAATGTGCCTGGGTCTGCGCTGGGCTCCTTTGGGGCCACCTCTTGCATCTGTGGATCTGGAGTCTCCTGATAGAGGGAAAACTCCACTGACCTGTTGACATGGGAAAATGAATTAATACAGTACTCTCAAAACAAGAGGCCAACAAAATTAATTAAACCAACAAAACCTAAGATGGATAGCTTTGAGGGACTTGCCGTTTGCTTCATCTTCATTTTATGTTTCAGAAATGTCTTACAACTGATTACTAGCTTTTTAGCTCAGCATGATGAAAAATCAGCTTTAAAACAGAGCAATAGTCTGTGGAAAATAATTGGTATTGATCAATTTGGTAAACCAAATGTATGATTGGTGTGGCTTTGACAAATGACTAATTAAAGAGTATACAGAATATATTAAATATATTTTACTATTGCAGGTTTTTTTGTGAATGTGTGTGAATTCTAGCTTATGATACTGATGACTCCGTCCAATTAAATATACAAATGTAAAAATACTGACCGTCCATGCAGTGGGTGACCGTGGAAGCTGGCTGACTGGGGTATCTGAGACCTTTGGAGGTTAGCTGTTTCACCATGAAGAGACTGGGCCTGGTGCACCAGAGGATGCGGGTGTGAGAGACGAGAAATCCCTGCCTCGTGGCTCTTTGAGGCAGCAGGGTTGTAGCCAAGAGCATTCCTCAGGTACCAGTCCCTAAGTCCTTCCAGAGCAAGCGCTTTATGCAGACTTCTCGTTGAATCTTCTGGAGTTGGAAGCGAAAACTGTGGGGGTCTACGGCTGAAGGAGGGTCCAGACACATCAGTCTGATAAGGGTGCAGGTTGGGAATGGAGGATGTGGTGGTGCCTGTTCCAGGAAGGGGGGAATCGTAGGCTGAGAGCAGGATTCCATCCTGGGCATGTTGCTGCAAAGGGATAAAGGGCCCACAAGATTTGGTCCTAGTGACTTTGACCCTGCGTAGCTCAGCTTCGGAGCCTCTGAGGACCATAGGGCTGTAAGGAGGTGCCGCACTGGGAAGGTGCACCTGGGAATGGGAGAATCCGTTGGCATTAGGAGGCACCGCTGCAGTGGAGGAGCGAGGAGAGGACATGTCTTGCCAGATCCTTCCGGTAGACTGGTACAGGGGGTGCTGCACCTGCATCCTCTGCTGTTTCCCCCAGATGTAGTCCATCAGTAGCTCATTGTAGCCCACACTGGCTCCTCTTCCACCCATTGATAGGCGCATTTTAACCTGCTCCACAGAGCTGTCCATGTGTCTCTCGGGGCTGCCCATGTGAATGTGCCGCAGTTTGCCATCAGTCAGTGTCTCTGAGCTCTTGTAGGGCCCTCCTCTCTGTGGCATTCCATTTCTGGGTGCGGGATCGTCTGGGAGGCTGGATCGATCCAGCAGGGCCTCGGAACTGTTGCTGCGCCGCGCTCTGGAACTGTACGGGCAGCTCCTGCGGTCAGAAGAGGAGCCTTCTTGAGCCAGCGGAATCATATATGGCACATCCAGGCTGCCAGACCACTGCTTCAGCCCATTGGCTCCAGATGCATCGGACCTTTGGTAGAAATAAGCATAATGGCTCGTATTGAAACAGCTCTCAGAGCTACTATTGATATAGATTATTTGTTAAACAGGAATGCTATTAAGGGGAGACGTTTTCCCACAGTGCCAAACATTTAAAAAAATCCATGCTAGCAGCTAAATTAAACACTATTTGTGTCAACCCTGACTATAGTGTGCTATCACCTAAGTGGTTAAATCATTTTCTAGCAGTTATCACAGCGGGACAGAGCTGTGGCTGTGCTGCATGGGTGTATCCGACAGAGGCAGCCAGTGTCACACTTTACCTCACGTGAACGCTTATTGGAGCGGTTCGGGCCAATAGAGGAGTTGCCGGAACACTTCTACCTTCAATGTTAGAAGCACTTCTAGGTAAAGAGTGAGTGGGGCTGCGAAGAACAACAAGGAAACGTTTACCACCTTTATGATCGAGATGATACGTCTCATTATGTGACACTGTTTGCTCCCTGACAGACTGAGCAGGCTGCACTGCCAATACCACAGCGGAGGATTGCTTTTAGACAAATACCTAACAGAGCTTGTGACTGAGTTGCGGCGCGTCCTCATCTCATAGTAAATATCCACTGGAGACAGCTTCCTACTGATTCTGTGTTCGGGGCTGCCCACGGTGAGCCGGGGCTGAGACAGAGAGCGTTGGTCAGCTGCCACACTGGGCGAAGACTCTGTAGAGAAAACAATCATGGGGGCCATTTGTTAAAAAAGGGAATCTCTTATACACCAAGTGCGACCGATGTATTTAAATAAGGAATGCATTACAGTATGCTGATCTGACTGTTGTCAGCCAACTCTAGAAACTATACTTTTTGTGCAGCTCATTGAATTTGGATGGAAAGTAACCAACCGAGATATAAATTGTACTTAAAAGACAGATTAACTCACCATTGTCGTGAGATGTTGAATCTGACATCGAGCTGGTGCTTTCTGACATTACTGTGTCCTCTGACAAACAACAAATGATTCAGATTAAGAGCAAGTTACTGTTTCTCGTAGTATGTTATATAACAGAGTGGCATGCTTTGTTTCCACTTATTCAATATTTGTTTCATTTATGGGAATATGAGGGCGTTTTTGTTGTTTAACTGCGGTGTACCTGTACCTGTGTGACATCCCCGATGCACCGTCCTCTTGCTGTTTGGGCCGTTTCGGTCGGATTCTGAGTTTCTGTACAGAGCACCAGCGATGATGGCTTTCATCTGCTTTCTCTGGGCAGAGTCATCCTGCAGCCAGGGTACGGCCGGACACGTTACACCACAAGCACACACAGCAACACGGCTGCTGCGTAAACACAATTGATGTTCAAGGTGTTGACTTACCTCCAGCCTGGTGCTGGGCGCCAGGCCAGCTCTGCGCTGCACCAGTGGGGGTTTCTCTCCTATCTCCAGAGGGAAAATGCATGGCAACTTCCCAGTCAGCTCCTGTAAAGGACATTCAATAACAACAATTCTTCTTGCTGCCCTCCCGGGTCACATGAAATGATAAAATAGGGGTACTATAAGGATGTAGATTACCGGTACTGTAATCCCTTTATGGCCTGCTACTCTATGATTAAATGATGCTGAGTGAGATAGCTGCATCATACTGTAATTTACCCATAAATGGCAAATGTGAAATGTATCTATGGAAGAGTGTGACATCAGCCTTCTAAGCTGAGCTACACTGAAAGCAAAACAATTTCCGAACCCAAAAATAGCCACTGAAAGTTGGAGTGAGTCACTACACATTGAGCTGAAAACATGAATATGTGTTAAACAGCAGTTCAAGAAGAGACGGGGCAGCTGTGGCTTCATTTACATGTGCTGACAGGATCTCGGGAACCATCAAGCAAAAATTAATTTGCAGCCTATTGTATCTGAGAAATCCATCAACAAGTCACTCGGTGAGAAAAGCATGCTGTTTTTGAAAGACAGAAACGTGAAACAAACAAGTTAAATGACCAGTCACAGTCATCATCTCATTATATGGGATGCAGTGAGTAAGAATAGTTCTTCACTGACCTACATCCCGCCAAAAAAAAAAAAAAAGAAAGGAAAAAGAAGGAGGATGTGAATGCTACTCACTGCTTCCTGCAGACACACTTGTTTTAGCTCTCCCACTCTGGCATGGAGAAGAGCCTCCAGGGCCTGCTTTCTCTCCTGCAGAGCCGTGAGCCTCTCAGCCTGCAGCTTGCCGTCCTGGCAGCCTTGAACATCTGCAGACCCAACAGACATGAGGTGGCCGAGTCTCCACGTTTAAGCACAAAATCAATGACGGTCAGTGCGTAAAATCCGACTAACTTTCCCTGCCAAGCATCTCCTGAACATGCAGTCCTTTGTGTGTTAATACTGTATCGCCGTGGCTGAGCGTAAAGGTGTTTTGTTTCTGATGCGATTGTCTGCCCTCAGTTCCACACTGCTGTGATACCAGTATCTGGCAGCTGTTAAGACACCATGTGAACAAAAGGCTTTCACACATTCGGCTGTTTTTATAACCGACTCTTCCCTTGAGAAAAACTTTCGGGAAAAAGAAAACAAGCTGATAGAGCCGACAGGTCATTTCACACTTGTCCAGACAGCGGAGTGTGTTTTTACAGCATGAGAAGTCATTATTACTCACCAGGAGCCCCCAAACCCATGGATGTGATCAGCTGTCCTTTGACTTCCATGTGATGTAATTATGGGGACTTTACGACTCACTCTCCCAGCCACGCCCTCACCTGGAAAAGACACATAGAAGCTTAACTCTGGCCGGTATGGATGAACTAAATGTATTCATCCTCAGACGTTTTCCACCCTCTGACCTTGCTGCCATGTGTTGTCTTGAGGTGTGAAGCGAGTTGCATTTCTGGCAAGTTAGCAGTAGATAAGGGCGGGTGAGTACTGGATCACAGGACACAGGGTACCATCAGCAGGAGCCTTAAAAAGATTTGATGAATTAATCAGCTATGAAAATAATTGCAGCGAACTCATCAGTGACTCAACCAGTTGTACTTAACCTCTTGAGCCGTATGGTTTGTATACTGGAAACACAAACAAGAATGCATCAAGAGAAATTGAAACATGCACACTGATTGAAAATGTATTAGATACGTCTTTAAATAACAGATCATAATTTTAATCGAGTGACAGGGATCCACTGAATGGTTGTGGACCTAGAAACATAAGATCGGGTTAAACTCTCAGTGCTTCAATAGATCTCAGTGGACAGAAATGCACTTAATATAAATATATATATATATATTTCTATCCCACAAATAATTTCAGCTGCAGTAGTCAAACGAGAGTTTGATTATTCCATCCAGTCTAACTGAGATTCTTCTACATATAAAGAGAGGGAAGTGTGGGGAGTCTGTAGGAATATGTTAAACTTTTGTTGCTTTTCATTTCCTTTTTATCTTCAACCTCGATAGAGGATTGATTTTTAATCTTACCAATGAAGATGAAGCATATTATATATTATTGTCTCTATAAAACAATGTGACACTTCTATGGAGTCTTGGTTCCGTACAGTTTTACTACTGCAGAGTCAAATCACAGTGCTTAGATCATCTTTGCATACCTTAATTTGTTTCAAAAAGAGAATTTCTACCACCTTTCCCTAACCCCATGACATTTTTCAATGAGGGCAAGCAAAAGTGCTTCAGAAAAGATGAAAGACTCCCTTCCCCCACTTCAGTCACATCATTACTCTAAAAATAGTCCTTAAATACAATTAGCCGCCAATTAATTTGCAAAGGGAAAGAAAAAATAAGACAGGATAAGTTACATTAATAATGTATGTGCAGCTACAGAGAAAGGGAAACTTAATCCGTATGTGGTTTGAGTCTCAATAGTTTCACTACAGAAGCAAAAAGAAAACAAAGAAAGAGAGAAGCCAGAGGATCTGAGCCAAAAGCAAGGTGGTGGGAGCAATATCAAAGGCCGGGGATCAATGCAAAATTCGGTGTGGTTTTCTCTTTTTTCCTGGCCTAAATATCAAACGTCCCTATTGGATTTTCTGAAATAAAACTAAAACTTTAAACTGTTTGAATTAAGAAAAACAAACTTCAGGCACGTGATTGTTGCTTTACTCACCTGCAGCATGTGAGCAGCATCCCATGTGGACATTCACCGCACATATTAAAGTTTTCGCACAAGTAAAAACCTGCCTCTCAGGACCCAATAGAGACCTGACACCCTAAAATAGAAATAGTCTTCTGCCAAAAGCCTCTCATTCATCGTCGGTCACAAATCACTGCCATCAACAAGGCTCCTGCCGTGTGTTTGCCAGTCCAGCAAATCAGAGAACAACTCCATTCCAGCTCACAAATCTACATGGAAAGCCTCAAGGTTGGGATAGAGAGTTCCCCGTCTGAAAGCAGTTTCTGCCGGCATCGCATCTTTCAAAAGGAGACGTTTATCTATCAGGTAGTCTGAGCAGCTGCCTCAGAGCTCTGTTCCAACACGGCCGGCTCTCGGGCTTGTCTCAGGCCAGCAGAAAACAGCGTTCAGTTTTCCTGACTCAAACACCAGAAAAGAATGAAGCTCACTTTCTGTGAAGACATACTTGAAATGCTTCTTCCGAGTCTGCGTTGGCTCCTGTCCTGGAACTGAACCAGTAACTGCTGTTTGCTCCTGTAATGCGTGAAAACCCCCCAGCATGCCTGACCTCTCGTCAATAGACAAGCGGGAGCCTTCACCAAAAGCATGTGGCAGACTTAAAGACAAAAGCCCATCACATGAATCCTGTTAGACAATACAGAGTCCATCATGATCAGATTTTAGGTTGATCTAATAAAGCCCGAGGGATTTTCACCTGAGAACAAACAAGGCAGTGTTGTGCCTGTTCTCAGTTGAACTGTAAACCCTGAGAGGAGTCGTGGAGGAAAGATGGACAGAGACATTTGGTATTCATCTGGGCCGTCGCTGGGCAGCTGAACACTGGAGCCAAAAGGTTGCCATGCCTCTTAAGAATGGCTCTGGTCTGGGCCGAAAAACATTTGCCTGGACGTTTAGTGCTCGCAAAAATGTTCCGGTAGTAGAACACATCTTTCCCCCTGGATGCCATACCCCCCCCCCCCTTTTCCCCTGTTCCACTGAAAGACATGTTAAGAGTCTCCCTTCATATGAAACTAGATGTTAAATACTTCAGAATAAAGCTAATGTTCAGGTTTTATTTCTGGAACTTTACTTGACTGGATAAAGAAATGTACATTGGCTAATTTTAGCTAGAGTAAGTTATATTATTGAGTCGCCTTCTTAATCTAATAACTGTGCTCTTCATACTTGTTGTTAGGCTCTGAATGATACACAGTCATACTCAGCCACTCTAGACAAAGAAAAAAAAGCAACATTATAACATCTGACATCCTGACTTAAATTATTAAATTACTCCCATCTGCATGGAGCTGTTGTGTGTCAGAGGAGGTATGTGAAAAAGCAGGAATCTATACAATACCACCAACGCTTTCTGTCTTGCAGACAACAACGACTTATTTCTTGTTCTTTAGCAAATGTGGGACATAGAATCTTTTTAACAAATGTAAAAATGTTACTAGCAGAATCAGTTAAGCTGGAACCAAAACAAAAAAGATGCCGCTACCGTGTCTAACAGTCAACATGCCTGACAATATCAGTGGTGGCGCTCAGGTGCCAACTTTTCAAACATCTGGCGTGCACATGTGTGCTGGTACACAGGTATCGCATTCCTAAGAAGAGCCAGCGGGAGAGCTGGAGGGACAATGAAGAATCAGATAAAGAGTCAGAGGGCAGCATCAAAGAGAGGATCCTATGCGATGCGAGTGGAAGAGATAGGAGCATCTTATCATCATCATCATCATCATCATCATCATCAAACAGGCGTTGACTTTGCATGTATACGGGCGCCGGATGGTGGTTGAGATGGAACTGGGAAGGCCACGTCGACTTAAAGTGGAGCTGTGCAACAAGAGGGAGCCGCTCCGGTGCAGCACGCATCACACAAATGCAAATCAGGGAGGAGTTTAATATTCAAGTCCAGAGGGCTTGAACACTGGAGCCTATACAGTAGGACTGATCCTACCGAGTTCTCACGAGGAGCTGAGCTGCTCTCTGCTTCAGAACTGAAGTAATGCACATTATATTTCAGCACTCATGGTAAAGCTAAAATCCCTCCGGAATACAGTTGTATTTGAATTTTTTTTTTCTCCCTCTAATCCTTTGATAAACATGATGCCTCACAGCGCTTAAAGGAGATTCACTCCCCCTGCTGTCAGCTTTGATCCGGCCAAGGAGTCCCAACAGCATTCATACAACGGATACATTCATGGCTTCCAAAAGCTAAGTCTTGATATGTTTCCATAGATGTTTCAGAAACGAGCAAACATGGGCGGCAGCTGCTCACCTCCAGCCTGCCGTGGAACAGGTGAGGCTGCTGCCCACATGCTGGCTGTTGCTATTGACACAGCTGCCGCTGTTGTCAACTTACACATGGTCACCAGATTAGGGGCTTCAAACGCACAGGCCCTGTAAACCCAGCATGAGGCTCTCACCGTGGGTCCAGGAGGTCAGACCGAGTCTGTGGTGCTGCCGGGCGCGTATCTGTGTACTCAAAAACACATCCTCCGACGCCTTCTCCCCCTCTCCTGCTCAGAGACGCTGCTCAGTCACTGTGGGGGACTAACCCCCCCTCACCTGAGCTACCTCAACCACAGAACCCTGGTGGCCTTGTGGAAGGTAAGGTGACCCCATCCCCCGCCCTACCTCGCATAATCTCGCTCACCCCACATCCACAAAAAATGCTGATTCATAATCGTGCTTATCGGCACACGGCAGGGTAGCGCGAACTGGCCAATCCTGTGCCCCCCTCCCCCTCTCCTCCTGGCTTACCTTTGCACGTGTGACAACAACCACAGGCAAAACAGAGCAGACCTAGCAATTGCTCTCCACCTGAAATCCGCTGAGGTGCAGGGCGGGGGGGGAGTAATAAAGAAAGGAATGTGGCTCTAATGTCCAAGGGGATTATTTTTAGCCATATTCCCTCTGCTCTATAACACCTGGAGGGATTTCTTTATGTATTGTGAGTGTTTACACACAGCAGCTGTAATCCACTTTGTTGGTTTTGGATATATTTGAAGGATTTTTAGTTCAGACTTCTGAGCTGAGTAACATCTCTTACTACACTGGGAAACACAAAGCCTGACCTGATTCTTTTGCGCCTCTCTCATTTGAAGAATAGTGGGCAAATACTGTGACACGACTGCCGCTTGATAAGGTCTGGGACTTGATTCCCCGAGCTTATTTCCATTTGAAATCTGCGCAAATGTTGGAGCGAGGGGGTATTTAAAAGGGCTGTATCCAGATTAGTTGGCGAGGGTCTGACTTTCCATTCTCTGTGTAGGGTTGTCATTCGCCTACTTTGGAAGCAGATGTTCTCATTGGGTTAATCCACACGTTTGGGGAAATGATAAAAAAAGGAGAGATGTCACCTTGATGGATCAAAAGAGTCCAACGGGATTCCCATTAATACAGATCAAGCTCTAACTCCACTTTGCTTGATTGCATTTCTGCGGCTCAAAGGGCCGATTTACAGCAAGTAATGGGGAAAGCCGCCAAATCTGAAGACAGAAATCAAACAAGGGCCAACATGTGTCAAATGCACATTACACAGCCAACTGGAGCTCTTTCAACACACTGATGTTCTGAGCGGACACAACCCCTCTAACAGTAGCAATTTAGACTTTAAAAAAATAGCTAGGGCGGCTGAAGGGGGAAAAGAAGCTTCTGAAAACAGAGAGGTGTTTCCCAGACGCAGCAAAAGGTGGGGGAGCTGCGAAACCCCCTGAAGGCACTGACTGACCCCCACAACACTCTATGCATGAGCTTTTTTTTTTTTTAATCCCGACAGGCATCCCTTGTTCAGGAATCTGTTAATAATAGGGCTCAACGCTCCTGCATGAGACCAAGCAGTTTTTGTAGGTGGGAAAAACAATGAGGCCAACGGGAGACAGCAGCAGGACGCCTGTGTCTGTTTAAGCTCCAGCAACAGGGGAAAGTTGGGATCCCAGAAAGCCTGGTGGGATTTTTTTTTCCCCCAATCATTGCCATTATTATTTTTTGTAACTCCACCAAGATTGTCGTTTCTGTTCAGATTAATTAAAAAAAGGCTATTTCCTAGGCTTTTTTTTTTTTTTTTTATTAATCCGCCACACAAACAATGCGCCCCAGCTTGGCGTGCCGAGAACAACGCGTTCAGATACGACAGGAGAAAATATTCGGCCTTGTTGCACACAGGCGCAGCACGGAGTGTGCGGATGTGTGACATTTCCCCTCGCCGAGCCCCGGCTCGTGGGGCTGCAGCCGCCCCGCAACCCCCCGCGTGCCCGCTGCGGACGCCAGCCACCGGCTCGCGACGGTCCCCCACCGGACCGGTTCACGCGGAGGCATTAACGAGTCGCAGGTGTGCCACTAACTGCCGTGATTTAAAAGCCCGTTCACGTGAGCTGAATGTGGTCCCACGTCTCTATTCTCCTCCACTAGCATCGATGTTTTATGTTTGTTTGTTTGTTTTTTTGTCTAACAGACACATACACACACACAAAAAACCACTGAGCTTACTGACATACGTTTAAACGCCCAGTTAGGATAAGAAGGACATCTTGGAGCTGAGCTTCCTCTTACCAGTGAGCATGACCGATGTCTTGGGAGGTCTCCGCGGTCCTCTTTTGCAAAAACAACGCTGAGAAATGAAAATAAATAAATAAAAATTAAAAAAATTACACATTTCCTGCGCCAGACCGCAAAAACGAAGAGGGCTTTGGGGTAACGAAGCCGTCAATTAAGAAAACGTGCGGAAATTCGCGGGCATCCTGTTGGAAGCCCCCCTCTCTCGCGGCGGCTCCTCGTGCCAATTGTTATTCACCAGCACCCTCGCGACCTCCGCTGCGTCGGAGCCCTGCGCATCTCAGTAGAGCCGCTCTCTCCCAAGCGGAGGAAACGCTTCGCCTTCAGCGCCCGAGCCAAACCCCGCTGCCTCCCAACCGCCGACTGGCTCAGCGCGGTCTCGGTAACGACGCCCCTCCCAGATGTGGACGTGCCTCCGATGTGCGCCACTCACTCCGGTGAGACGAAAAAGCATCCAGTGGTTGCGTAGGCACGTGCGCGGGGATCGTACCGCGCTGGGGGAAACTAGAACACGCAGGAGCCCGTAATCAATGCGAATTAAAAATAGCGGGTTTTTTTTTTTTTTTTTCCTCAGTGAAGCCGGAGAGCCCGAAAACCGCTGCTTACGGACGTGGCAGAGCCAAAAAAAACCGTGGGGTGAATATACAATGTCAAAAATCCCCTGAAAGAACACAGCAGGTGCTAATTCTAAAGGGTTGTTTACACACACACACACACACACATTTGAATATATGTATATTTTGAAATGTTTGCATATTCTAATATAATTAAATAATTCTAAATACCCTGTTTCTCTCAAATGACTTAAATTATGAGCTGCAAATGAAGGAAAAGCCTTTCAAATCTACCATAACAGACCAAATGTAGTTAAAAGTTCCATAGTTCAGATAAATCAAGCACTGATTCAGTAGTGGCCAACACATTCTGTGTCTGTAGCTAAAGTTTTTCACACATTAGCTAAGCAAACAGTAAACTAAACCCTCTTAAAAATAGATGTAGACCTATATATACATAAATAAATCCTTAGCCCTTTCTTTAAATAAACTTTAATTCAAATACCAGCCAACAATAGTTTTTCAAAGCAGAAATTTTGAACAGAAAACAGCTTGACAAAAATACATTTGTCCAGAGTGCATAAAGTTTCACATTGTCAAGTCACTGAGTTATTTAAAAAAAAGACAAGGGGAAAGAATGGAGGAAATTTGACCCAAAATACAATTCACGAAAAAAAAATCAAGAGCTTGGAAAACATTCATTACCAAGTATATATCTATTGAACAATAGAAAAGGGAGGACAGTCCGAACAGCTTCTATGAAACCAAAACAACAGCATCATCTGTGTGATAACTTTGGACTACAACACCACTTTCATCTGACAGTATCACTCTGGGAAACGTAGACTATATCCACAAGCTAAATAAAAATGTGCTCTCTAAACGAATAAATGTTGACATGCCAGTCACATTTTAATTCAGGTCTTTGTGTGACGGCATCTGCCACGGCACCAAGGAAAAATGTGTCCCAAATTCTGATCTCTTTATTGGGTTATGATCATCTTTGATGGATAAATCCATCTTTATCTTTCCCCTCTTAGATGCAACAATCGCTTTACTGTGTTGCCTTTACAGTACGTAAAGTGTGTCGATTTAGTTCTGCACGTGCATAATGGCCCCCGTTGAGTCATTGGTATGAAGAGGTAGTGTTTTGTTAAGAGCTCCTGCTCATTTGTTAAACTGCCACTGCTCACACTTAATTCAGAGGGGTGAGCATCATGCAAGACCATTAATAAAATGGAACAAAAAAGAAAAACAATGCTACATGAAACATTGAGTGTAAAACAAATTGTTCCCATTCTTCTAAAAAGAATCCAACTTATAAACGTGACACGTGCAGTTAGCCTGACAACATGGCGACCGATGCTGCTGGTGTTTTATTCGGGGTTACAAAACAAAATTTGAGGATAAATTATTCCTACAATTAGGGATTAGGGATTGTGTGGGACACTCTTCAAGAGAGAAATGATGTGCACCAACAGGACACCCCAGAATGCCTGAAAGCACACCTGAAACAATGATTTAGAAACCCCGACACCAGCCTGAAAATAAATCTGAAATAAAAATTAAATTAAAAAAAAACTGGATATATTCATACATCTCTTGGAATGCCTTTGGTGAATCTTCAGATGAGCGCATCTTTTTTTTTTCACTACAGTCCAGAGGTAAGTCTGTAAATTTCTTATATATTATAACCATAAAAAAAAATTAAAAAAACAAGTAACAGAAAGTTGCTCCGGAAAAATCTGCGGTCTCCATTTGGGTCAGAATTGTTTTAAATTATTTGAATTTTTAATCTTTGTGCAGAGTTTAGGATCATCGCAGTAGTCTGCAGCTGGCGCAGACGCTCTCGGTCTTCTTCACTAAGAAATCGCACGTTGAGGCCCGCTCCAGTATGACGGGGCCTTTTTGAATGAGCAGTTCTTTAGGGGGAAGCCCGTGGCACACGATGTACTTCTCCAGGCCCAGCAGCAGGTTGACCACCTCCGTGACGGAGGTGAGGTGGGCCGGGTAGCTGTCGTAGAGCGGGTGCGTGGGCAGCAGCGGCTGCTTCTGGACGGTGACCTGGTAGCAGAAGCCGGGGTCGATCAGCACCGTGGTGTCGGCCATGCTGGACTGCTTGGAGCACTGGATGAGCTGCAGCTGCGGGCCCTCCACCATGATGGCGTACCACAGGATGGGCAGGGCGGAGGAGCGCAGAGCCTGCAGCAGCTTCATGAGCTGGTTCTCTACGTCGGCGCCGCTTCCCGGCGGGTTTTCGGCCAAACTGAAGATCTGCGTAATCTGCAGATAACATCGGAATGAGAGCAGACGGGATTAGCCAAGGTTATGCGGAACGCCGAGAAAAAAAAAAAAAAAAAGGGAAAACAAGGTCTTAGCAGGACACTCGCCATAGGGAACTCTTCCTCTTCCTCCTGATCGTCGTCGTCTTCTTCAACTGGCCTTCCACCGTCTTTGCCTGTGTAGGATCCCTCTGGATCACAATGGCTTTGCTGGTCCTACATCAAACAGATCAACTTGTGAGTTCAAACACAGAGTGTTTCCCTAAAATGTGACAATCAGACTTCTGATTGGGATTCCTACTGTTGCAGCTACAACTAAAGCTTGTGCCCTGCCTCTTTATTAATTTCTTTTGTTTACTTCCAGCTGGCATTCCCCATCAGCTGCTGCCAGCGATATTACAATACCTACTGTCACAGAGAAGTGTACACCAACAACAAACAGCAGGAACAGTTTAGAGCGCATCCTCTACCGACGCCGACTGGAATGTGCTGTGAAACAGATTATCCAGTTGGGAGGAGAATGGGGTAGGCGGCAGCCTTTGTCTCCAAAGCCTCAAAAGTTCAGCTGGTCTGAGATGCCTTCGGACACCTACTTAATCTGGTCGGGAGTGATTTTCTGAGCAGCTGCTGGCTTCAAATGCTCCAGGCAAAGATTTAAAATTCACTCTTTTTTTTCATTCAGTGGTTGTTCTACCTTTGTGTGCCTGGTTTTCATTTGCATGGCTTTACAGACCATATTCTTTTGGGATTTAAACACATCAGCCTACATGTGCAGCCTTTATGTTGACCGAGATTACATTAATATTCCCGTTTACTGCAATATTTCGCTATTAGATTAATATCTATTCAGATAGTCATTTGATCACGTTTTTCTTATATAAACCTAAGGTGAGACGCTGTTGTGAAGAGAGGAAAGAAAGAAAAAAAAAAACCTTCCAGTCAATCTTTTCACGTTACCAGTATTCATAGCCTGACTGCTGTGGTATTGATAGATGTCTATGAAAGTCACCTTCAGCCATCTGACTGAACTGGATTAAGTCTAAAAGGGGTTAAATAATACCCCTTTTCATTACTAACAGTATTTCCACTCAGTATTTTCCAAAGCTCTTCATATATATAAAACTCTCTTCTGTTTGTTAAAGCAAAAAGCTCCCAAACCTTGAAAAGACCAATAGGTGCGGATCTTAATGTGTCACATTCTTGATCTGATGCAGAGTAAATAAGATAAAGAGGGTGAACTCACCAAGTGGTTGTGGTTGCTGATGTGAGGGACTCGATCTGGGAGTCCATTCCGCACCCCAAAATTTGAGTGATTCAACTGCCGAGAGACCAATTCAATTGATATTCTGTTTGGTTTGGCGAGAACCTTTCAAATTTCAACAGCACGTGCATTAAATCCGTCTTAAAACCTGCATAGATGATTGGTGGTTTCTGACATTCACATCAAAGGAGGGTTTGGTCCCCTTTTCAGACTCCGTGCTCCAGTCCATCTACAACATTAAGACAAGCGTCAGGCTACAAGAACCAAGAGTCCTTCCTGAATTCTAAAAAGTCAAGCTGACTTATTCCAAAAACAACCACTCAAAGCTGCACCCACCAGCTGTGAATTACTGTCCTCATCGTCATCAGTGAAATCAAACGTATAGTGCTGGCCTTTGAGCTTCCTCAAAGTGGACTTTCGACTATATGTGTAGTGCGGCCTGGGCCTGCCTGGTTTATCGGAGCCGTACTCGCTTAGGCCCATCTGGAAGGGCAACAGATGTCTCTGCCAAACATAAGCGAGGGGACTGTTTAAGGCTACGGCGGTCACATTGGCAGCACACAAACAAATGCAAGGCTTCCCTAACACCGGGGGCCGTTACCATCGCCTGCCGCTGACACTGCCGCAAACGGCACTTCTGCCTCTTTTTGTTGCTGCCTCCAAACTTGGGCTTGTCTACACAGAAATCACACGTGCCGCAGTCTTTCCTGCAGAGGCAGGCTTTGCACTCCCCGCAGGAACGCCGCTTCCGCTTCTTATGCCACTAAAAACAAGGATAACAGTGCAGAAAATAAAGAGGGAAAGGTGTCAGTGAGTCACTGGCAGACAAAGAGGTGAGTGAGATGAGTTGTGCACAGCTTTCCGTTGGGGGATCAATACCAAAAAGGCGGGGGGCAGTTAGAGAAGAGTTGGCTGAACCCTTCTGAGGAAAACCTGAAACTAGCTGTCCACAGGAACAATTTGACCTACACGCCTGCTTTTACAAGCCATTAGTAGACGCAATCCGAGTAGGGCTGTACACAAGTCTTATTTCCTCATAGATGGATAGCCAGGAAACCCAGAAAAGGTGAGAAATCTGCCAACGTAACTGGATAACACGGCATGTAAGCCGCCGACCCGCCGCCACTGATTTTTTCTAAATGTCTTTTTGCCACCCCCCCTTCCAAAGAGACCTGTTTTTGATGAGGCTGATGGTCATTTGAAAATACAGGTGGAATTTTTAAAAGGCCCCATTTCCAGTCTTTGCTTTCTTAAGACATTCCTTTCAGGTACTCTTCATCTGCTTTGGACATTGTTTTTTATTTAGCCCCTTTATTTGTCCTCTACTTGTGCGGTTTAGGTTTGTTTAAGAAAACGAAGCACGCCGTGACATGACATGTCTTTCCCTTAGAGCTCTTTAGGAATCACCTCGTTGCTGTGGAAATATTTTTTTCCCAAGACTGATGGACCGTGTTCTCTTTGGAATTTTTCGTGAATGGAACAGTGCTATTTGTCTTTGCAAAAGCGTGCTGACAAAGTCAACTTGAATTTGGTTCTGTTGCCAACTTGTTTGTTGGGTTTAGACACTCTCTGGTTCATCCCTTGAGTTATGGACCTAGTCTCTGTCGGAATCTGACTGAAACACCTCAGTGGTAAGACACTTTGGTCTTTGGAGGACCAACAGTAGATTTACTGCTTAAGAGCGCTTTAAAGATAACGACTAAATCTGTCTGAATTGTATCATGGTTTTTTTTTCGGGAGCCAGAGGGAAGGTTGAATGGAGTAAAAGGACAAAAAAAAAAAAAACTCACATCGTCATCATCGTCTGTTGACATGTCGTCTTCTTCATCGTCCACGTTCAACGAGAAGTTCTCCGTGTCGCTGCTTTTGAGACTTGGCTGCTATGTGAGGAAACGTTTTTCAAATTCTTTAGAAGGAAAGATCTGAAAAACAACGCTGGAGTGGAGCAAATTTGGCAATAACACAAAAGCATTACCTGGGAGTCTGTGACTTCATTCTGTAATAAATAAACATCAGAAAGATCTCAGAAACGTGACGAGACAAACACGTCAAAACTGTTGTGTGACGGAGATTGAGCAGACTTTATTACCTGGAGACTCATGTTGTCATCAAATGTTTCTGGAACATCTGCGTAAGATCTCTGATCTCCTCCACTTCGAGGGCTCTATTTGGAGGGGGGGGGGGACAAAGAAAACATATTAGCTGTTAGAAGTAAGACAAAAAAAACAAAAAAACACCAGTTGTTAATGAGTGCGTTCACCCATGAGCTGACCTTACGAATAGGACATATACATCTGCGTTTCCGACATATGCGCCTCCTGGATTCTGGGCTCTGCAGTCCGTGCTTGCAGTTGGCACACTGTCCACAGTTAACAGTGTTTTGACACCCCACACACTCACCGCAGGGAATCCACTACAAAAGCAGAGGCCTTTTGTTTTAATGATATGGTATGCATTAAAACGCAGAAGCATCTGCATGTACGCCGGCAGCTCTTTACCTTCCTGAAGCGGATCATGGGATGCTCTTTGGTCTTGGACGCGGCTAGAAGTGACAAAGATGTGAACAGCTACTGTTAAAAAGAAAAAGGTGTTGGCCTGCAACTTCTATTCTAATGGCAGCGCTGCCTCTGTGTGCGGACGTACCCCAGCAGCCAGGGCAGCAGGGCCTCTTTCTTTGCTTGTCGTACGATGTACCTGTGAAGGAAATGCCACACTTGGCACAGACCCTGCAGAAAAACAGGATGAATCTCAGTTCACCTAATGTCAGAGTCCTGCTAAACGCAGCGACACAATTAAAGATGGCGTCGAACGTAAACCGAGGAAATGAGCTACTTACAGAGTGCTGTCCTCTGACCCTATTTCTCCATTTATGGATGGAATCGGAAGCAGCCGAGACGACGAGGGGAGCGGAGGTTTAGTCTTATGGTCCGCGGGGGGGTCCTCAGCTGGGCAGGCTTGCTTGGAGGTTCCACTTGGGCTGTTTAGAGAGATGCTGGTTTGGCTGCTGTTGACGTTTTTGGGCCCGGTGTTGGGAGTCAGCCTGTGGTGGGAGTCAGGGGTCTCCGCCCCCTCTCCTCTCTCCATCCAGCTCGACTCTGAAGAAGAGCGATCGCGCAGTTTTCTCTGAAGGACGAATGGAAAACGAAAGAGTGACCGACGGGAAAACGGGCCCCGAGAATTGGCAGATGTTTTAAATCGGAATAGTCTCATACCTTTCCTCTAGCTCGAACTCTTACGGGCAGTGCTTCGCCCGCGTAAAACTTGCCAGTCTTATAATCAAAATTTGTCAAGTCAAGATGGCCCTGGAGAACAGTGGTTAGCTCCACCCTGCTTCTCACTCGATCGCCCTGTGGACTGTGAAGAACAACGGTTACAATCAGTAAAAGCAAGCTGTCTGTAACCACGTCCATTTCTGTAGCTTATGTTATATAGACTTGTTTAATAAGTCAGTTAGACTCTGCTACAGTCAAACGCCCCTTATCTTTCCCATTTCACCTCACCAGTAGCAGGCACTAAAATTGATTGAATCCTGAAAACTGTTGAAAAAAAATGTTTTCTAGAAATTGTTTTCACCTTAATTTAGTTCTTGCGACCTGGCGGCATTTACCTGAGGTAATACACATCCTTCTGACCAATGCTGGACCCTGAACGTCGCACAACCTCTTTGCGTTTCCAACCCTCTGCGAGAATGGGCCACTCGATCCATCCCTCATCGCGCTGGGGTCGCTTGCGACGAGTGGCGTGCATCCTGGAATCAAAGGATGTCAGATAAATATCTGAAAGTAACATCCTTGCTCCCGGAGTCAGAAGACTAGTGGGATTTTTGTTGCCCGCATGGATCGTTTGTTTGTTTAATTTCTCTTAATAATAATTCTGCTCCTGTGTTTTGGAGGTGAACTTTAACATCCAAGTCCATTCTAGGCAACAACAAACCTCATTGCGGGATCACGGCGTAAAACCGAGCTGCCGAGAACCGCCACACGACGGGAAAAGCTGCGCGTCACAAAGCAGGAAAACATATTCCACCTACCGATAACGCCTCCTCAAGGGCTTCTCGTTGCCTCCGACGCTTTCGCTCCTTTCACTTTCTCCTGCCACGCTCTCTTCTTCTGGATCATTTCGACCTGGGCTATTTGCATCGTCCTCGTCGTCTTCATCATCATCATCACGGTCGTCGTCATCATCGTCTTCGAGTGGCTCGAACCAGTCCATGGGAGGCTCGCCCCCCGCAGACTTAACCTCCTCCTTCACCTCGGCCAGAGGGCCTTCCACAGGGGCAGCATCAGGGCTGGGGTTGTCTTTAGTCTCATTCGAGGGCACCGGGGCCTCCTCAGAACTATTTTCTGTTTCGGGACATTCCCTCTCAGTGGTTTCCTTCTCATTTTCCGCCACAGGTGCACTGCCAGGAGTTCGACTCTCCGCTGCGTCCACGTCCATTTAAGCTCCAGGGTCCTCTCCCAAGTGGCCTGAAGGGTTCTCCGACTGGCAAGCCCACTTCTACAGCCGAGCACGCATCCCGTTTAAACCGGTGTCACTTCATTCTGCCCCTAGGTTGAACTGCTGGAGCCTGGCCACAGAGATATGGGAGGGCAGTCAGACTGTTGTCAGCTGTTCAGTCTCCTGAACAGACAGAGCCTGGGGAAAGTATTCAATGGAAAAAAAACAAGAGACAGAGAGGGAAAGGACGTCACTCATGAAGAGAAATAAAGCACACCGCGTGCTCATAAATATAACAGTTAACTCAACAACTACGTTCACAGGTGTGTTTGTGCTTGTAGCAACAGGGTTAATTAGCTAGCACTGGAATGCAGCTGTCGTTAGCCAGTGAACACAACTAGCTAGCCATGCAGGTTAACCTCAACTGTCAAAAGTGGCGCTAATGCTAAAAAGCTGAGAGTTTTAGTTAACAATGCATGGAAACAAACAAGGCAACAGTGGTAGCGACACACCACGCGATAGCTGCAAGGTGTTTGACGGGGCAAAAACGTCCACTCACAACGCGGATGACGTTAGCCTCCGCTAGCTTTAGCACGCTTCTTGGGTAGACGCTGTGATGTTAAATTGAAAGCAATCTGGAATTAGGAGCTTTTTGCGGCTGCGACTTCACAAACGTTGCCGTTACGAGGGCACATACCTTTCGGTTGCAGTTTTCCTGATGCTTGGCACCCCAGTAACAATAAAAGAGGTATTTTCCACTTTGCAGGATAGGGATATGCTGGATCTTTACCATGCATCTAGCCCGACCAACGGAAACGGTCGAGCGACCAAAGACGAAGCAACGGGCAAGATAAAGCCGTCCCGACTGTATGAAGGCAAAATCCCATTAAAAATATATATTTCGACTAAAATACAAATTTATCTTAAAAAGTTCCTAATGCATTGTTTTGTGTTTTAAATTTAATACCGAAGCGCTACCGCTTTAAAACTGAATGAATATTTGCAAGGTTTTTAAATCTTACCGGGCTCTATCTGCATACTTATGTCAGCCCGCTGACTCAAACGCTTACATTTTTGGAGGGAGGATGAACAGATCATTTGACGTATCTTAGCCGCACATACGAAGAGAAGAGAGGAAAGTCTCATCCAAACTACGTCGTTTTTGGTCATGGCAGTGGTTTAGCAGTGCTGCGTTCACGGACTGCGTTCTTTTTCAATTCAACGATCCATTAAAATCGATCGATAAAAACGATCACGGAGGAGAAGTAGAAGTGGGCAGCTGCAAATATTACAACTACTTCTAATTTACTTGTATAAGTAAGTCACCACATGTATCAATAAATGAAAATAGGGTTGTTGTTTTTTTTGTTACAATCCGTTAAATTAAACTTACTATCACAAGAGGGGTCCCTCTCTTGATGGTTACCTACTGTAAATACATTTATGAAAAAACGTCAGGTTGTTTTTCAAATTTGAATTTTTTTTTTTCATACTTAAAAAAAACAGAAAAATGGCATATGAGCGTGGTAGGTTAACTAAAGGTTACTTAGATGGAGATGTCTTGCTCTGCTAAGATTATATATTTCCAAACATTTAGATCCATAACCATGCCAGAAAATACTCACCAAGTTTGGAAATATGCATTATTATGTAAATTATGTTTTTTTCAAGGTAGATATGTAAATGTGATTATTTATTTTTTTTAATTCATACTTAATACAGGTTTAATCATGTTTTCTTTGCCTTTTCCATCTTAAATCATCCCAGAATTACATTGTTTGGATTTGAAAATATAAAAATATCTTCATTACTGCAATTCAATTTAATAACCCAGAGGGTGACTACACTTTATCATCTATATTTTAGTCATTTACATGCATTTTATAGTAAGTAGTAACGCCACAAATAAAGCAAAAAACATAAAATATGTTGGAGACACCTTTAACACACAAATTTGAAAAAGGTGTTTATTCAGTGTGCATACCAAAAACAGCAGTTTTATCCCTCCAGTCAGCAGAGGTTTGTGTACCACTTTAAGAAAATATATTAAGATACACACATTTTACAATTTATTTTTAGTTTGATCCAACGAGTTAACAATGTTAAAGTTGACATCCACAGCACTGAAACCTCATGTTATGTACAGTGATCTGAGCTGAAAACTACAGCCGACCTGATGGACTACCTATCCTTGTTGCTTCGAAGATCCGTGGTCACGGGGTCGTGCTGAATAGTCTGGTGCAGCATCAGAGCCAGAAGGCCGGCTCTGTTGGTCATGGCGGTCCTGACATTTCGCTCCTGCTCAAAGAGCTCGTCCAGTTTGTACCACTGTGTGCAAAAAGGAATCACGTTTTACACTCGGGGGGTTTTCCTTTTTATTGGGCCGACTGAACGAACGGCCGTAGCAGCCATTAAGTTTGACTCACCACCCTGACACGTTCCAGGTCCACCTCGGCTCTCCTCAGCTTTTCCCAGTTGTAATGCTTGTTGCACTTTCTTTTGGAGACTCTGCAGTAGTCTCCTGTCAGCTCAAACACATTCTTCACTAGAGGGCATCCACACACCTCATCCACTGGGATCTGGATACCACACAAAAGAAAACAATCAATAAATACAAACAGGTTTTTAAAAACAAGAATTATGCTGTATATTAGAATAAACATTCTGCACTGACCTTTGGATCTCTGGAATGCTCCGGACACAGAACCTGAAGCCTCTTGCAATACGTCTTGCTTTGGGGGTTGTACACGTCACAGAAAAGTCTGGTTGCACTGTGGGAGATTAAACACAGCATTACCGCAACGGCCAAACAACAACAAAGGCGTGTGGTTGACATTTAAGGGGCTATTTCTTCCTCTTACCCCTCAATTCTGGTGGGGTACATGCTCCCAAAGGAGGTCTGACTCTCATACTGTGGATATGATCAGAAAGAAATCCGAAATGATGCTTTGAAGTATTTTCTCTTGCCTAAAAAGCAGCAGAAAGTAGAGAAATAATCACCTTTGCGTAGCACCTCTCCATGTGTCTCAGGGCCACCTTTGGGTTGATGGGATGACTGCAGGAGACACAGAAGATCTGCAGGTCTGTGTCCTCGCTGTCACCTTCATTAACCTGCAATTTAAAAAAAAAAAAGGTTGTCTCTTAGTTACAGTTTTTGAAATGCAGTGAATTCAGCTTTTGAAGCGACGGGCGTGCGGCACCTCCTCGTCCTGCTGGACCGCCTGCTGCTTGGCCTTGGCGATGATGCCCTCCAGTTCGTGGAAGCGCCTCTCCATTTCGGTGAGGCGGAGCCGGGCGCTCTGCTGCTCGCGCCGGATGCGCTCCAGCTGCTTCTTGCCGTGCTCCTCGGCGATGCAGGGACTCTGCTGCCACTGCTGGATACGCTGGGGGAGGATCTCGTAGATCCGGCTGCGGGTCGAATGGCACAAGGACACTTGTTGGAGCCATACTGGTTATTTTACATTTACTAATAATCTAGCTGAGGGGAAAAAAACATGAAATGAAAAAGGTAGATAACTTATGGTTCTGAATGAACTTATTTTGGCAACTGTGATGTTGCCACTATGCCTAAATTTAGTCAGTTTGAAGGCAAAAATGGTAGAAGCGACATTTTTTTGACTGTGCAATTCTGTCTATTTTCAGAATTTCCATGTTAAACCCTTTAAGCCAAGAACTAGTCTCACTCTAAATGTACCCGACGTGTGTTTAAAGCAGTAATAATTCCAAAGGAACATGGTTCCACTGTATATGGGGATGTCCCGAGGTGGGACTTTTCTCGGACGAAGTTAAGACTGTTGACAGCCATCTCAAAGGGAGTTCCAAAAGACCCTGTGTTTTTTTATATAAAGCACAAGTTTACAAAGAGTGAGCATGTTTGTGTTTTTTATAAGACCAAAAAAAAAACATTGCAATGTTTTGGAAAAAATGTAACAGGCCCAAGCTGGTGCACTTGAGGAAGCAAACGCTCAAAGTGTTTCGGCTGGAAAGAATCACGTTTTAGAAAAAGGAAAAGAAAAACTACTCTTATTCTCATTTCAAATAGTAGTTTAAAGACTGATTTTAATACGGTGGTGGAGAAGACTGAACAGAGAGCCACAATAATCAAGGAGAAAAAATAAAAATAAAAACAACAGAGTTTTGTTTAATTAAATATACAATTAAGATCAATTTTGAGCAGTAGTGTGAGAGGTCTTACTTGGCTGCCAGCTTCATACCACACTCCTCGGAGCAGTATTTGGAGTTGGCTCTCGCTGCTTCCACACAGTTTGGCCCCAGGCACTGATGCTGACCTCCGCTGTCCCGAAAATCCCCCCTCTCGCTGTGTCGGCTTCTGTCTCTGTGTTTCTGCTTTTGCTTGTGGCGACGGGACTCCTTCTGAAAAGAGAAAACCAACAGGATGTTTCCACAGGTGACACGGGCCCCAGTGTATTCAGCCATTACAGCAGATTCTAGATAATCACTCTTACCTTCTTGTCAAACTTCTTTTCTCGCCTCTTGACGTGCTTGACTTTGATAGCTTTCTTTCGCATGATAGGGCTGAACGCTGGCTCATCATCATCGTCAGTTGGCCATGCCTATGACAGAGGTCAGCAGATGGTCAGTCACCAGAAAGTGTAGAAGGCTTCCAGATTAAGTGTTTTGTTACTATTCAAATGATGTCGGCTTACCATGCTGCCCAGTCCTGCTGCCTTGTACTGCTGATAGAGCTCCGCCTCGCTGTCGTAGTCGTCAGAGTAGCGCCTCCGTCTGTGGTGGGAATTCTCCCGCCTTTCGCGTAAAGAGAACTCCTCATCCTTCACACGCAGCATTTTCTGTACAAAAATACGCACGAGTACATCAGAAATTGGAAGCGCCACCAAGTCAAAGGTTAAGAAAAGATCTTTGGCCTGCCGTTCTTTTAAAAATAAATAAATAAAACGTGTCTGATATGAAACTTGGCCATAAGGTGAAGCGATATAAAATCCAGTGACTTACCCTGGCTCGAACCTCACACTGTCTGAACCTGCACTTCTGTCTGATTTTGTTGGGGCCTCCAAACTTCTTCATGTCTTTGCAGAAGTCGCACTGTGCGCAGTCCTCTGTCCTCCTGCAGGGCTCACATTCCCCACACATTCGAACGGAACGCTTCACCTAAGCAAGAAAAGAATTCACCGATTGGAAAGTCAGAGCAAAAGAAAGAGACTTAGTTTACGCTTGTACTTCTGAATGAACTCATGGTTCATTAACCGTTAACTGGTGTCTTCCTCCACCTTCATTTAAATGGCGTCTATTGCCGACAACACCACAACTTACTTTTGATCCACGCCTCTTTTCGCTTTTGTAGTCCGGTGTGCTCGGGGTGCTGTACTGCCTGTCTGTTCGATCAGACTCTGTGTCTTTGTCGCGGTTTTTCTTTGATCTATACCTTACTTCCAAAGATGGGTTTGCTCCTTCAGATCAGGAAAGACAAAAAACAAACAAAAAGAAGCTTATATAGGCACGGTCTTGTGTAATCACCTGAAACAGAACAATGGCTGTCACCAGTAGAAGTCCTCCTTACCTTTGCATTTCATGCAGTACCACTCCTGGATGGCCTTCGCCATCTTCTCTGTGATGTTGATGCAGTGTCCGTGGAACCACTCACTGCAGTTGTCGCAGCCACTGGAATCGCAGGAAGCAAAAAAAATGACCACACGTACCAACTCTGTCACATGCATACTGTTCACTTGGCTATTTGCAAACTTACATCATGAAGCAGTTGATGTCCGGCTTCCGACAGATACAGTAAAGTGGTGCGTTCTCCCCATCCCTGCTGCTGACCGCAGGTCCCGGAGCAGGATCAAAGTCAGACATTTCGCTGTCCTGAAATGTCAAAAGAGGTATTGAATTACCAAATAAGTTACACTGAACATCACCAACTACTGCTAATAAGGCTGAATGTTCCAACCACATACCACTCTACTTTCTTTTAAACTCCCAACCTGTTTTTTTTTTCAAATCAACAATTTAATCTCTGGCTTTTTCATGTTCTGTATTGAATGCACAAAGCAGGCAGCTCAGAGATCATCATCACCACACGGTGCAGGGAAAAAGGGAAGAGCTGTCATCAATAGCAGAATATTCCTTAAGTTAATGTTTTAAAAACTGTCCTCACATTCTTAACAGAATGACAGAGAGCAGCAACAATACACGATCAGCTTGGTGGGTTTATCTCCCAAAAGAGATTGCTGAAAAAAAAACATATCCAAATGTTTACGTGCATGAAATCAATGAGAAGCTAAAAATATAATTGGCTTACAGCAAACTTGTGGTGGGAATTGATCTGAAAGTAGATGTGGTTTCTTTGTGTTGGGTTCTTGGTGTCAGCCTGATTATGTCACATGACCAACATTGAAATAATCCGAAATTGATATTTTAAAATCAACTTTATCTTCTATTAATCCGTACTATCGCTGGTTCTTATCAGGAAAAAATAAATTGGGAAAACAAAACAAAACAACTTTTACCCCCTGATATGCAGTAAACAATAGTAGTTCCATATAACTAACGTCAGACACTAACGTAACAACAACAACAAAATTATCAAACTGGGCATCACGCTCAGTTCATATACAGTTCCAATTATTATTTAACAGAAGTTAATACATAATATATGCTTGTTTGTCAGGAAAAATGCGTCACTAACTTTATTTCGCATTAAAAATTCGTCAGCCAAACAACAAACTAGGTTTTTGACAATACAAGATCCCAGTTTAGCGTAAACACTAGCGTTGTTTACATACAAGCACACTGATAATATGATATGCTAACGTTATGCTACAACTGTTAGCATCGTCCAACTTGACATGGAGAGTTGAAGTCAGGTGACCAAATTAAATAGTAACCGAGAGTAAAGTGAGGAGCTGATGTTCAAAATATGAAGGTTATTACAGTCACATTTAAGCTGTGTCACATTTAAGTTTACTGTGCAAGGGTAAATTAACCCACACTATGCTTCTGTCCGATGCACACCGCTCGGTAACCCAGTTACTTTAAACTATTCCAGATAAAAAGTTTATTGGACAAACAAACAGAAAATAAATAAATACTTACCATTTTTAGATCGTATTGATTTGTGTTGTACAACGCAACAAGGCAGTGTCAGAAATGTATCCAAATTTAAACGGAAGAGAAGTACTGTCGCGCGATAGCTGCCGTTATGCTAACATTTATACGGATATAACTTCGCACACAATCGGCTGCGCTCGCTGTTGAAATGTGATTGGCCAAGGTTCTTCTTCTTTGGTTGTTGGTGAACATCTAAATGCAAAGTACTGCCACCTGGTGTTGTGTTGGTCCGTAAAAAATGTCCGTATAACAGTGATTTCTATTTTCTGAGGCTAAAAGGGACAGTGTGTCACATTGTCTCATCAAGGAGCTATTCTAGAGTATAATTTACATCTACATGGTATCATTGCTTGATTCATGGTCATGTCTGAGCGCATGCACCCCAAAATATCAAACCGAAACATCAGTCTGAAAGAGGTGGTCCCCACATTCTCATATATATCCACACACGGGTGACTGAGGGACCTACAGAAGAAATGAGAGAGACAGAGAAGAGAGAGAGGAGAGGCTGTGCAGGAGGTTTGTGATGCAGATATTGCAGCGCCTGACAGCTGGAAGTTCTGAACTGGTGAGTCTGAACTGAGCTGCATCCTGGATCATCCACCAAGAAGATGGCATGAGAAGTGAGTCAAATCTGTTTCTATCTTTATATTTAAGTTGAGCTTGGATGCATATTTGGATGCATAATTAGCTAAACAATTGAATGAGATAAAGTTCAATTAAGTTTTTTTCTCATAGGGAAATAACTTTCGACTTGTAATCTAAAGCTGCCATCTTTTTACATGAAATTAATTACATTTATATTTCCAAATGAGAGAAGATTGGGGGGAAAAAATCAGATTAGATCAGAAGGCAATTAATCATTAATGAGACCGGGATCTCATCCACTTTTATAGATGTCAGGATGTCTGTGTGCTGCCTTTTAGACACATTATACATGTAGCTAAAATGGAGATTAATAATAGATTAACTACTTTGCCGTTTTCGAAGATGTCCACTCATCACTAACAGCTGAGAAACCTCAGCAACAAATGTTACAGCCAGAATGTGGTTTTTCCACTGAGGAACAAATACTGTCTCTTGTACGTCAGAGAGGTGCAGGTTTGATATTTGGCTCTCTTATACTTCGTTATTGCTCATGCTTATCTGTTCAAGAGACCTCTGCAAGATGTCATGATGGATGACGAACTGAAGTCGGCAGATGTAAAAAAGAGGGGAGACAAGAATGAGGAGAATCCAGGCCGCCGTAAATCCCAGACTGTGGTCTCAAAGGGGCCCGCTGAAGTTGACTCCAACACAGGGGGAGCAGGTATGTACACAAAGAGCGGGCAGTGGATTATCGGGTATCTGGAATTTTCAAACCTTCCCATCTCACAGGATCTGCGACTGAAATCCAGACGTTATCAGGGCAGATCTCCTCTGAGTTATCCTCAGCTGACTTCTGTGTCCAAACGCTTCCTCTAGAAACAAAAGGTGAGCTGGATGACAGATTCATGGTTTGGGGGGTCAACGTGTCTGCATGTCATTGTGGATTTAAATGTTAATACCATTGTCTGGCACAGAAGTTCATGAGGAAAAAATCTGCAACAGAGGATTGGCCTCCGCCGTGCTCATCAGTGGTAAGAAAGATCCCCCTACCCCTTCTGCATCACCCTCTGTCCATACTCACACAATTCATAACGGGGGCCAGTCATCCACACCAATCAGGACCCAGGAAAGCTCAAGAACATCAGCGATTCACACTGAGCCAGATGGAGTCGGTAAGGATGCTCAACTCCTGTTTACAGTATGTGAGCTAAATATCTTCCATCTTTACCTCACTGCTTCTCCTTTTCGATGCCAGACCTGTGTGCTTCCATCCTGCTGGCCTGCCTGTTCTGCCGCCCGCTGGACTGTCTGCTGGCCACGGCGAGAGGCTGCGGCGGGTGCGTGTGGTGGCTGTGCTCGTCCCTGTGCGGCTGCACGCCCGGCGGCCTGCAGCCCCTGCTGGACGTCGCTCACGGCTGCCACCTGTGTGGGTGCCTGGCTCTCCGGCGCTCCCCGTGCGACTTCTCCGTCTGCGAGGTCTGCCTCCACGCCACCGAGTGCGTCGACCTGGGCATGGAGATCTCCCAAATGCTCAACCACTGACGGTCCCCCGTTAGGAAACGACCACATCCACACGTGAGCCGACGAGAATTTATTTTTTTTATTTGTTAAAATCTTCTGAAAGCCATATTGTGGGGGACAAAGACACACGTCCATGGTTAGTAACTGATTGTTAGTGCTCAAATGTATGTCGAGGTGGACATAGTCAATATTGTGCAGAGCAGATGTGAATGAGCAGGGGAAAAAAAAGCAGATCAAACATGTTTTGAATATGGAGAGACTGCCATTTGTGAGGGTGGAGCTGCTCTCAGCATAAAAGTAGCCGAAATTCTTTGAATAAACGGCTGAGGACGCTTCAGAATAGTCCCAACCAGCCAATGTTACTGAAACTACCATCTTTTAGATCCACTGGAACTTCAGATTTTTTTATCTGAAGCTGCATATGCTTGTTGGACAAAAATCTTTAAAAAGGAAAAAAAAAACAACTTATATATGTAGGTACATTCTCAAAACACACATTCAACAACTGTACATAAGGTTGTGTTAAGCCTCTAACAAATGAGTTACAATTCTAAACTTTGTGGCTACTTTATAAAATAATTGCATTGCAGGTTCCAAACAAAAGTCATACATTATTATGAAGGAGGTGACTAGTGGTTTTAAAGAGAGCCACAGCCCTCTAAAATTCATACTACAATGAGTATTGATGCATAATTAGATATTACATCTGATCCTCTAGAAAAGAAATAAAAAGACCGTAATCTTAGCAGAACATGCTAACTGGTAAAATCACTCAGTGATTACCGAGGTTAAGGGGGACAAACAGTCACTGACGACACAGATATTAGTACTGAAAACCCACTTATCCAACTATCAGGTATAAAAAAAGATGAACTACAGTACTGGTGTAAAAGAAAAGAAAAAAAAAAAGAAATTCCCACGTGTTCTTGCATTTCTAGTGACGATGCAAACGCATTCAAAAAATAAAAAGCTGATTTGTAATATTTAGCTACTCTGGAGGAAGTCCTGCTTTGGCCGACTAGCTGCAGCAGCGAGTGATTTCTCACCGCTTCTAAGGTTTATTACGAGTACACGGAATGTGGGCCATGGCGGCCCACTGTGTGTGTGTGATGGCGATAAAAACAGACACAAGCTTTCAGAAAAATGCATAGACTGCCATAAAGTAAGGTGCAATAAAAACTGCTCAAAATAAAATACTCTTATGTACAATATGCAGGAAATAGGTCACGATGTGCCAATTTTCTTTACAAAGATCCCTTCTGTAGCTGCTGGTGAAACGACCCAACACGGATGAGCATGCGACTGCTACCGACGAACCCTGATTCCAGTCAGTTGAGGAAAGAACCCAACAAAACGCGCACGTTGGCATCTCTGAATACATTTTGTCATGCCAAGGTTGTCGAAAAAAAGAAATCTCACAGCTTTTTTTCGCCCCACACATGATGAAAGCATATCATAAATTCAAGCAAAAAAAGAAAAAAAAATCCCTCTTAAATCTCTGAGTAAATCTTAAAACTATAGAGAATGTATTATCTTTTTAATGCATGCCTCTATAATGCATTATTCCATTTTCAGATTGCATCTAGAAACCCGATCATAATCGACTGTTCCAAATAGGAACTATAGTAATTAGGTCTGTATGGCATAGAAGACTCAAGAACTTTCTCTGGACCTAATATTTAAGTTAGTATTAGTTTTTTTAAACAGCTCTGCTTACTTTTATAGTTCACTGCTACAGTTCTATAAATAGACTCGTGTTAATGAGGATGGACTTCCATCGTCTCTACTGACCGCACAAAACTCATCACAAGTCCTCGTCCATTTCGAGGCTGCTCCTGCGGCTGCTGGTTTTGGAGGCACCGGGTGACAGGGGGGAAAACAGCGGCTCGCCCATCCTGTCGGGGGACAGGGCGCAGCCGTCGTCCATCAGGATGTCCCCCAGGCCCACGCCGGGGTAGAGCGCCGAGGCCGAGGAGTCGTCCAGCTCGGCGAAGCTCAGGCTGCCCAGGTCCAGCGGGCTGCTGATGGTGACGCCGGCCGGGGACTCCGAGGAGGGCGGGGACAGGAAGGAGGCCGGCAGGGGCTGGCCGCCGGCCCTCAGGGCGAGGAGGTTGCCCCCCGCGTTGGGAGCCAGCGACGGGCCGCTGGGCTGGGCCGCCTGCTGCTGCTGCAGGAGGCGGGCGTCCGAGCTCAGGCCGCTGGCGGAGGACAGGCCGTGGAGGCGCGCCTGCATTTCCAGTTCCTGGACAGAAGAGGAGCGTGTAAGCAGTCAGAGGCAGTGTGGAGAAAAAAAAAAAAAACTGAAATGGAACCCCTATACGCCAAGTCTCGGGTTTGGTTCGTGCATCTAATGGCGCCTTCCTGGTAGTAGCTACTCACTCCTCCCATTTCTGGCTCGTATTAGGAATTTACAACACCGATGATCGCAGAAATACCGAAACTGGACGTTTGTTGTCACCGCATTTGATAGCTTTTAAAACTGGAGCGGTTTAGTGGGGACTGTTCCTAGTGGAAACGCAAAAATAGAGCCCAACGCCATGCTGTTCTCAGTAGGTACTAGCAGCAAAGAGACATAAGGATGCTGACCTGGATGCGTAGCATCAGAATGTGATTGTCTTGTTCCAGCTTTTTCTGGCGCATTTCGATATCCTTGGATCTCTGCTGCTCCTTCTGTAGCTTCCTGATGTAGTCTACGGAAGCTTTCAGGATGGTGCCTTTATTCCAGCGCATCTCTCTGTGGAAGCGGCAAAAAGCGAGACATCTTTACAGCAGCTGCCGGGACCAAACACACCTGGTAGCGGAAGAAAATAAATATCCGGGAACATACGGATCGGTTGATTTGGGTATGAGGGTTCCCAGCTCCTTTATGCGGTCGTTGATGTTGAATCTCCGCCTCCGTTCAACTGCACGCAGGAAGAGACCACCAGACGGAGAATGAAAGAAAAAAAGGAAAGAAAAGGCGTTTACTGAAGTGGTGAAGTGGATGAAAGCACATCGCCTCCAATTCAATCTCTGGAGTATGTCGCCCTCAAAAACACCATTAGTTCCTCAATCTGAAACGTGCACTCATTTCTTGTAAATTCCAGCTATATTTCCTATGGATTCAAATTTAATCGAGGTGAACTTCATAAATATATATATATCTTTTTTCAAAAAGGTCAAAGGCATGTTTTTTAAGGATAGATGAATGTATTAAAGGCCCACTTACTGAGGTTATGGTTGTCTTTCTTCTGCCTTTCTTTCAATAGTGCTTTGGTATCTGCATCTGAGAGACAAATTCAAAGATTTGTACCACTCTCAATCAAAATCAGAAAGTTTGTCAATTTGTTGTGTTTGAAGAAAATTAATCACATCACTGACGCATGTAAACATGTGTTGTACCGGTAATTTCCCTTTTAATTTTTGGAAGGTCAGCGGGGCAGGAGTTGCTGACGGTGAGGGTGGGTGCTGCCATTCCAGGACTGTGATAGACATCCAGCAGATTTCCCGGGAGCTAGAACGGCAGCAAGCGAAGATGTCAAAAAGCATGTTTGACGTTTAGTGACTGTCTGTTAAACCCACAAGCAAATATCAATTCTTTGGGAAACTGTGATTCTAACTGGAATCAGAGCTACTTTCTCACCACAGTGCCGAGCTCAGCAAAACAACAACAAAGAAAAGAAGTTTAGACAATATTCTTTAACTTATAATTCCACATAGGAACACAAGTCATATATCATAAGATATACATGAATTTTAAAAAGTTCAAACATCACTTAACCTTTAATAAATGGATCTAATTACCGAAGAAGACTGCTGATCTTTACAAAAGCCAGACAGATCCTTTACCTCGCGGTGTTTCTTCTTCTTGTCCTCCAAAAGCATCACCATAATCCTCATTTTTTGTTTAGCAGGAAAAATGTCCGACAGGTTGGACAAGCCTACTGTTTTTTGGCCTGGCCGTTGACGTTTTATTGAGCGTAGTCTACTTTGTCTCCTGCATCCCCTGATAAGTTTACCCCGCCCAGGCAGCACTTCGGTGACGAATAGTAACCCAGTGCTAGAAGTTTATATTTACCCCTACAACCTCAGAATTCCACACATAAAGGAGACCGTTCATTCACAGAAAAATCACTTTGACTCAAAGAGGACAAGAGGTCAGCGGAGAGGCCTGAAAGTGGGCTGTGCTGTGGATGTTCGATGACACAACACCCAGACTTCAGAAGAAGCTTCCAATAAACAAAGCATGCACAATCAAACGAAAACATTGTCCTCCATACCGTGCTTGGCAGCTGAAGACCTGAGTCAATCAATGTGATGATGTCATCATTAAAACTGGATTCAAGACTAATGATGTCGTCGATCACATCGTCAATCTAGATCAAACGAACAAGAGAAAAGACAAGCACAGGGAGACGTGAAAATCCTGTCAAAGTGGTTAAAAATGCCGATTTTTTTAAGCCTTTGGCAGCATTAAATAAGCCTCGTGAAGCATCTGAGAACTCTGAAACTCTTATTTTAAAAGCGAGTGTTGCATGCGAAAGACGCCCTGCAATGGTTAAACTGGAAGTGTGATATTTAACATCTTATTGTGACCACGGGCCAGCGTGGATGTGATGACAAAAGGCATGCTCCCTCATATCGGGAGCTTCAGCCCATGGCAAACTTAAGGAAGAAAATTGAACTTGGTTAACTTCCACAAAACGGCATTGCCTGTCAGTGCATAAAATGAAACTGAAATAGGAAATTAAAGCGCTCCCGTTTACCATACCTCTTCCTTATTAGATCCGATGTTGAGTAGAGCCATGGGACTGTTGGGGGCACTGCTGGCAGTGGGAGCAATTTCAGGAGCCGAACTGGACTGCGGCATGGGCGACACGCCGAGAGTCTGTGTGACCGCATTGTTGCCCAGCGTGGTGGAGAGGTACTGCTTGACCTGCTGCCTCTGGGCCTGCTGGATGTGGTACTTGGTGGGGTTCTCCAAGTGGGTCTGCACCTGACCATTGAAACAGTTTTGATTTCAACAGGGAAACTTTCAAACTGCGCTGATCGGGAAGACTGGAAAAGCTTATAGTATCACTTAAATACATTTGAAAAATCCTAAATGATTTGAGGAGTACACAAAAGGTCAGTGGAATACCAGAACCCCGAGTTCTCTGAGCCCGAGTTCACACTAAATGGACTGACGTAAGATGCTGTTTTCTGCATTTGTTTAAATGAACTACGGACATGCTTCAACACAGTGTTCAAAGAGGGTGTTGTACGGATTGATCGGCCTTACTTTGAGCACCTCCACGGGCACCTGTGCGGGAGGGGGGCGTGCAGCATTGGGGGGCAGGGTGACGGAGATGGCTGGAGTGGAGTCAGAGGCCCGGAGCTGAGAGGCGGAGGCCTGCTGCTGGGCCTCGCGCCTCTCCTGCTCCTGAGCCTGCTCCCGCATCAGCTGCTGCCGCAGCAGCACACGCGACGACATGGTGGAGTCAGATCAAGATTTGGGGTCGAACCTGGGAGAAAGATCCAGCAAAGACAGTGTCAGGCAAACATGGATATTTCATTTCAGAACGTTACAACACCGGCCTCCGTGGTTAAAATAATTCGGTATTGTTGTGTACGCTTTTGTTTTGAGCTGCCGGCCAAACCTTCCCGCCACGTGGGCCTTTAGACACACCTACTCATTCACACCAACACACCTGCTGTAGTGAATGGGTGGGTGTGTCGTCTAAACTCATGGTGGCTGTGGGTGAGTTGATGTTAATCAGCGTAACTGCTATAGATGTGACTACTTTCTCCCTGAAAAGGCATTCAAAGTTGGTGGCAATGGATTCACAAGGTAAACAATAACGTGAAGCTAATATCTGTAATTGTGGCTAGTTGGGAAAAACAGAAGAAATAAGTAACCGTCCCACTGATCTTGCTTAAAGCATTAAATCTCAATACCGGTTTACTACATGTGAGCGGGCTGTCCGCTTCTTCTGAAGGCAGCAATCCTAAAAAGGACATATGTTCACAGAATTTTGATAAGGATTTACTGCCTCGTCAAAAACAATGGATCACCATTTACTCCTTCAAGCTCGGTTGGTATTGTGTCAACAATCTAAAGGAGAAGGAAAGTCCATATTAATTCCTCTTCTTTTAGGCCATAAAGTCACTTTTAAGAGAACCAACTGTCATAGCATTAAGCTCAAATGCCAAATCAGGAAATAAGTGTGAAAAAAATATCAAAAAGGAAATCATAACCATGTTATCCAAAAGGATCTAATTCAACTTACCCATGGCTCAAACCTTCATTCAAACTGAAAAGGGTGGATGTAAACCAAATTTATGACTACTACTAAGTGTATATACATTTTTAATCATGTAGGGGAATGTGTCAGATGTCATTGTCTTATAGATACTGTTGGACATGAGGTAATCTAGGCTCTCTGCCGACTTCATTCTTGTAACTGATAAAGCTTTTGAGAAGGCATCTGTTCTTATCTGCTAATATCTGCCTGGATTGTGAAGGTGAGGAGGGGGATTTTTTTTTTTTTTTAACAGCTTCTTTCACGCTCCACGGGCGGCGTGTTCTTGCACAATCCCGCAGGTCTCGTGTTCTCTGCCTACTTACTCATTTCCGCGTGGCACGGTCCAACTTTTCGTAGAACTTATACCCCATGAACTTAAATCCGTCCCCAGGCCCGTTATTACCCCCATACTTCCAGCACATGTTACGAGTCGGGAGCCAGCAGAGAGCATATCTGTCAGTTAACTATTATGTAAAACCAATTTGCCCGCTAAAAGAAAAAGAAGGAACTTCACTTGTTCGGTATATAAAAAAATAAATATGTTTTAACGATATTATCAGCCCAGTCGTGGGCAATGTTAATAAGTCTTTCTTGTAGTTGTTGCCGTGCTTGTTTTAATCGTTTTCGTAATCTCTATTTGGGGCGAACTCTGGTCTGGCGTCATGCGTTAGCAAGGCTTATTTTTGACAGCTTACTGTTGCTAACGGGCTAACCTCAACAAAACGATGAGACAACCCACAACAAACAGCTTTCGTTTGCATTATAAACTTTGAACCGTTGCTTTTTGACTGCCGTAGGTCGCCAACAACACCAGAGGGGTGTTGTTTTACCTTAAGGCGGCACTGGCAAAACTCAAAACGGGAAGTTGGAGCTAAGCTAACATTCTAGCTAGCACGACTCGGTGGTTATTGCCGTCAAGCAACGCGCACCGTTCTAGAATAAAAGATACTTGCCATGGAAGGGAGTACTTTTGAGGTTATCAAAGCCATAAATCCCCGGAGTCCTCCGTTTTCTTTGCCATGTCGTAATGTCGGAGATTAGGAGCTCAACAGGCGTTAGCCTCGGCGACAAACAGCGATGTTTACGTTGGGCCGACAGGCTGAGGTCATCAGGCAAACGTTACCCGGAACTTGTTGACAGTTGCAACAGTCAGCAGCATCAATTTAATAGTTTATATACATAGTAATAAAAAAATTGTGACTAAATAAATATTTTTTTAAATGAAAAATAGTAGAAAAACATTCAAACTGAATAAAAGCCACAAATGCTCGAATGCTGCAAATAACAGTTGTTTGTAGATCAATGAAGATTAAACAATTGTTTTGAGTTTTTATTTGAATTTCTTTAAATTATTTGAAATCTTGATTTCAGTCATCTGAAAATTAAAAGTCCATGGCAGAGGTGAGCGTGTCTGACAGTTTGGTGGCAATTTTGTCTGAGGAAAAGAGAGAAAAAAAAAACATGGAAGTTTTGTTTGCGCCATTATAAAGATTATAAAGCTAAAGACACAGTGGCAATCTGCTTGATGACCTGTAGTTTAGAAGCCTACATTTGCATAATTCAACATTTTATATGGTTATTTCTCTGCTCAGTATTTGCTTTCTTGAGAATCACTAGCCTTCTGTCGATGGTGTCCTTGGAAATTTGTTTTTGTTTCCTTTCTGAAGTTAAATTGTAATGCATTATGAGCATTCATACGTCAAACATGTAAGAATAATACAAACCAGCTCTTTTCTGTTGCTTTTTCCTTTTTTTACTGGCAGCCACGAGCGCCTGGCCTTGCTGCAGAGGATCGACGTTCACAATATCCTTCAAATTCGGAGCTCTGGGAGCTGCGTCATTTGCTGGTGAGTCAGTCCTCTTTTGTGATCTTATTTCTACCGTCATTGGTCCAAACTATTCAGATCAGAAAATGCCATCAGATTTAAAGCACAACTTCAATATCCTGCATATGATAAAAGTCATTACATATGTGGGTCTCTTACCTCTGGATCCTGATCATCCTCCATAGACACGGTTTCCTCTTTAAATGCTGGCTCTTCCACAGACTCTCCCATTTCTAATCCACCATGTGGCTCTTCATGACTACCTTGTGTCATACCAGCAGTTTCCATGCAGAATCCCATTTGGATGTCATGACAGGAAGACTCTAAAAATGAAAAAAGGACACAAAGATCACTGAAAAGAGGCATCAGGTTCTGCTTCTCCAAAGTCTTGAAATGAAACGGGAGTGTTTTGTGGAGCCTCAGACATGGTTGAGATTTACTTTTTTAAAAATCCAAATAAAGTTGAGATTCTGGCGTTCAGACAGAGTAATCATCTGCCTGGACATGACAGTGGGATTGGTTCTCTGTCCTCCCACTTTCATCCTTTTGTGAAAACTCTTAAATTGATGATCCTCTGTTAAGAATCTGCCCCTTCATAAAGACCAGCTTCCTCCAGCTGAGGACTCTTGCAAAGATTAAATCTTATCTCCCTTTGGAATCTTATCTTCCGCGACAACCCCATGCACTTATAACGTCACTTTTGGATTACTGTCTTTATGATCAAATTAATGTTTTTTAATGAACAGTTTTAGACTGTTTGAGAAATGTTGATGTTTTGATTTTGAATCAAACCACGCTTCAAATAGTGGCAATTTTGTGATTGAGTTTGATCCCTGTGCCCCGTACTATCAATCAGAACAAAGTTAAAGTAGCTTAAAGTAAAGCAGAGCAATTCACATTCAGCGCACATACATCCACTTCACATTGCCACATCTGGAAAAGCACGACTGCTAACTGAGGGAAAGCAAAGAAAAACAAGGAAGAGCTGCTGGAAAAGCGTGAGGTCATTCTGTGTAGGTAATTGTGTTCCAAAAACATCAGACACTGCTCATTACAAAGCAGCTAAGTTGAAACTCTGCAGTCATGTTTATGTAAGAACCCTGCACTGTATTTCCTGTACGACTTCTTCTGGCTCCGTCTCTGCAGCACAGTGGCGTCGTTTAATAAACAGCGACACCTACTGCCCTGGATGAGAACTGCGTTCAACAGGTGGAAATAGCTGGACTGATTTAAGAGGAATAAGTACTGACAAAAGTCAGTCAACAGGTTTAAAGAGTCAACCAAAGCTGTGTCTTTATGGGTGGATGATGCGGTCAAAGCTTTGACGACTATTTCTTGGGGAAGTTCCAGAATCTACAACCCAGACTCTAAATTCTCTTCAGATTTAGCTTGAACTTGATGAGCATTTGAGCACCTGCACACAACGCAGGAGGCCCCACTCAATCACACCCGATCAAAAGAAGGTTCTCATATTCCCAAGGATTTTACCTGTTGGTGACTATTCTTCAACAAACTAAAACTATAAGACCTGAGGATTCCCCCCCTAAAGGCAAAAGCATATGAGTGGAGGAGAAGATCCAATTCTGACAGTTTACAATACAGACACAGGTCATAAATACAGAAGAAGGTTTTTATTACCTGCAAGAACCTCTTGGTTTCCTTTTTCCATCTCCTCCCAGTCAAAGGCTTTACCCATCTCTGTAACAATCTCAGCACTGACGTGTGTAGGCAGGGTGTGGGTCTCCGGAGGGTGTGTGAAGTAGCTGATTCTTCCTCTAACACACAAAAAAAAAGGCAATAGCAATATAGAGTGAAAACACAGCTCTGAAAGCAATGACGGATGAGCAGACTTCGTCTTTTTACCTACCCCGTCCAGTCCATAAGTACACTTTTAGCTGCTTTGTCAGAGTCGGGCAGCCCTCCCTTCCTTAGTTTCCCTTGCCGTCGTGCGAGCAGCGCCAAGAACTCCTGAGCGGTCTGAAAGTCTGGAACGCTGTAGTGCTCCATGATCTGCACAGACATCCCAACGGACTATTGCAAAGACGGACCATCATGCTGTCGAATCACCGAGGAGGGGACACGCCATACCTGGGCCTTGTTGCAGCGTCGGAGGATGGCTTCAACGGGCGGGAGGGGGTCCAGCAGCTGTTCAATTTTCACGCAGTTGCGAAGAATCATCGCCGCGTCTGTGGTTGACGTCGCCATGACGATGCCGGGACAGTCAAGAAGCTTGATATGTTTGTCCAAATGCACTTCCTGAAGACATCTGTAATTCAAAGAAGGAAATAAATTTTAAAAAGATTAACCCTGATCGAGGGGACACACACTTTATCCCCACTAGGGTTGTCAAAAGTATCGATACTTAAAAAAGTATCGATACTAAAATGTTGTATCCGGATACGATACTCATTTTCAAAAGTATCGATACCACCGCGCGAGCGCGCGCGCGACGCTGACCTGCCGTCGCTGCGCCCCTTCTCTCTGATTCATTTATGTATTTATTTACGTTGTTTATGATCATTAACAAGACGTTAGCCTTGAACTGTTATCTGCGGCTAATTGCTAATAACAACACGCTAACAGTAATCAAGTACATATCAAACTCTGCCCACATCCAATCGGCCATTTTGATTACGTCACCAAAAGGAAGATCCCAGGCAAGAAAATCCTAATTGCTTCATGGCAATATAGACAATAATTTAAAAATAGTTAAATTAATCTTTCAAACACTGAATTAAACTCTATCCATAATATGATGTTAAAATAGTGGATGTTAAATAGGTTTGTACAATAAGTCAAAACCCAAAAAATAAGTTTATAAGTTTATAATAAGAACCAATAAGTTTCACCCAAAAAGTATTTATTTCTCACAATTATGAAGGCTGGAGGGTCAGGGTTAGGGTTAGGGTTAGGGTCAGGGTCATTAATACAGGCCACCAGTCACCATAACATCAGTTACAGGTCAGTTTGAAATGAAAGACACTAACCTGTCAAAATTCAGTTACATTTTGGGGTCTTTGTTTTTATCCTTGTGGTATCGAAAATGGTATCGAGTATCGAGTATTTTCCTGAGTATCGGTATCGAGTTGAAAATTTTAGTATCGTGACAACCCTAATCCCCACAAGAATGTATCTGAGCATCTCCTACATCTAGATGGTGAATAAGCATAAATCAGCGGTTTAACAAACCAAAGAAGAAGAAGACGATGACGACTTGTAATTGTTATGCGTAGCTGTCCTGTATTTAGCCGTTTTTTTTTTTTATGTCATCGACATTCTAATGAATTTCATGTTTGGCTGTAAGATTAAGTGTTACAGCCAAACATGGAGTGTTTCCTGCTTTGTTTAAGTCAGTGCTTTTCAAGAATATTTAGACTCATAACATAAAAAAATAAAATAAACATTTGTGGGGCAGATATCACCCCCCCCAAGACAGGATGGATTAATGCAACTGAGAGGTATTTTGTCTTCATAAAGAGTGGCAACCAAAAATGTTTTGTTCACAAAACATTCATGTCCTCAGAATGACTTCTGTTAGCTCAGATTAAGTTGATTTTTTTAGGGTATAGTTTCAGGTCTGTCTAGCCGCAAACTATTCTACGGCTCTCAGAGAGACCAGGGACATATAACTCCAGTTGAGTGTGCAGGTATATGTAATTGTGGTAAATAAATGTTTTTCAATGGTTACACTATGTCATTTAATGCATCTGACAATGTTTTACCATGTCCATTTCTAAGTGGATTTAATCTAGTTATAAAATACAAACAAGAAAAACAAGAGTTTAGCCTTACAGGGAACCCTAAAGGTAACTAACTCTCAGTTAGTAATGCACCAGCCTGTGCCATTAAAAAATCTGTCTTCCTCTTAAAGAGGCAACAGCTTTCGAGAGCGACCTGCGTGGTTTCTGCAGCCGGTATGCGATGGGGGAGATGACAACACAATTTTTTGTTTTTGTGAACGATAGCCTGTATGGAACTTGTGCAGGGTTACAAAAAGAAAAAGCCTGGGCATTGGTGATGAAGTGTGACCATGGCCAGCTGTCCATGTTCAGACAACAGGTTAGAGAAATCTACATTTTTAAGAAATACAGATTTCAATATTTCTCCATTTTCGATGCACAAGGGAAGCACATGTGTGGTGCTGCTCACTTACTTTGTGACACCCGGTGTGCCTCCAACGTTGCACGCCCGTGCCCGTTTCAGACTGTTAATCAAACTACTCTTGCCCACGTTGGGAAAACCTGAAGCACGCAGTAGAGGCAGTTGATCAGCTATGGGGCCACAGCATGCATAGAGATATGCAGAGGCTACCATTTAAGCACATCTGGACTCTGGGTCCTTACCTACAACCCCAACAGTGATGGCCGTCTTTATGTCCAGGTTGCGGCAGTAGTTCCCAAGCAGCTTCATCAAGCAGTCTGCTCCAATACACGCGCTGCTGCTAAGCAGCTCCGAGGTGGCTTGTGTAACCGGCACGTTGCTGCGTTTCTGTCCGTTCAGATTCAGGAAAATGACGCATAGTGGTGGTGGAGAAAAATGTAAAACTTAAAAAACTTTCGCGCCACAGATTCAATGCTTTTTTAAACCGAGTTGTAGATGTTTCGCTACTTACCAAGTTCTTCGACTGTTGCTGAGTTGACGCTTTGAAGGCCACTGTGGGAAACTCATTGCGAAGGTACTTAATCCACTTTTCCACAATCTCCTTCGTCACCAAATCTATAATCGATGCAACATGTTAAGTATTTCACAGAAAAGCTGACACCCCCCCATCTAACATTTTGTTTAGTCTCTTACCAATCTTATTAAGGACTAAAACTATCTTCTTGTTAGTTCCACTCTGGATGACTGCCTGTTCCACCTGAGGGCACCTGCAGCCCAGAGGGTCACGCGCATCCAAAACTTCCAAAATCACATCTGAGGCCTCCACCACCTAAACAAAGTAATTCTTTTTGTTTTTATGTGCTAATAAAAAAAAAAACTAATTTTAACAGACAGATGAAGAAAACATTCTTTGAAAAAGCTTGACAATTGCAGAATTAATCTGGTGTGATATGAACCAACACACAAAACTGATCAAAGAGCTACCTACCTTTTTAAATTCCCTGTAATATGCCTTCCTTGAATTCTCATTTTCAAAGTTGACATGTTTCTCCAAGTTTTGCATGTCTGTCTCCTGCACGCACAACCAGAGAGGAGTGAAAAACAGCAGCCAATAACAAAACAGCAACTCCGAAAGAGGCATGCTTGTGTTTACCTTCAGGTCAAATGCTCTCTGTCTCTGCAGGATGTCATTCTGGAAGCTTTGCAGGTTCCTCCTCTTCATCATCTCACGCTCTCTGGACAGTTTCTGCTTTTCCTGGAGATCCTGAAGCTGGTCAAGCAAAAAGGTGTTAATTGAGCGACAGGACCCCCTTTAAAAGATTCCGATTTTGTCAGATGTACAAATGAAAAGATTTACTCTTTGCTTTCTGACTTCCTCTGGTTTTCTGGAGTCTTTCACACTCCGGAGAGTTGACTGCTCTGTATTCCCAGAAGAATCTCCCGTTCGTCCATCTTTGGTCTGCAGTTAAAAACAGATCATTTTAGCAGGCAAGAAAGCATCAATGAACAATCTGAGGAGCTACGGCCTCGATGTGACACCGAACAAAGGGAGTTCAGCATTTGGACGGTTTTCTTAAATACTCATCCAAAACATTTAGACAATTAAGTGTAATGGGAGGGTAAATTTAGGTTATTATTATTGTTAAATACACAAACAAACATACACACACACACACACACATATACATATATATATATATATAGCAATGGCAATTTTGACAGAACATGTATTAGTTTATCTGAGTCCAGCCCTTACAATTAGCCACATAACACGTTAGCCGGGACGCACTTACCTTCAATTTTCCAAGGAAGCCAAGCCGTTTGGCCCGTTTCTGTTCTGTAAATAAAACAAGAAATGGTCAGAGCCGTGTAGACCCACTCACAGTTACAAAGCGAGCTCATGCTTTCGGCAAAGGCCGTGACTACCTACTAGCTTTGGACATAACTTTACTCTTAGCTGGAGTTCACGTGCGTGGGGCGAATATTGACATGTGCGTTCGCTGACGTCACTGACAACATCCGGTTTGGTATAACAATAAAAGCCTTTAACGCCGCAAAGAAAACTCCCACTTCCCCTCTGCAAAATTCTCTCTATTCTTCGATCTGAGGAATAATATTAGTAGGTTACTATCTGTGATTTGGCGTAAGAATGTTTGCTGTGATAATGCCGGGAAAGGGGTCCTCTAATTGAGGTTTAATCACGCTTAGACACATCATTTTCTTTGATATGTTCTATTGGGTGTCAAGAAAATTGTGTGACGTTATGCATTAGAATCTTCTTAAGGTGAGGGAGGATGCATAATAAATAAACAAACAAAAACTGGACTGGCAGACCATCCAGGGTCTATCTGGCCTCTCGGCCATTGTATACTGAGATAAGCTGCAGCTTGGTTTGATCCAAGCCGATGATTGCATACAGAGGCAATTGTAAAGGGTAATCGCATGTTCCAATTTTAACCTGTCAGTTCCTTAAATTAAATTGTTTGATGTCAACTCATCACATTTCTCTTCTTAACATGGTATTTTCGCATTTATGTACAATTGCTTACCACCGGATGATGGTTTTGCTGGGTTGTGGGACAGCAACATGGAGTAACAAAGTTGCATGTGGGGGTTCTCACATCCGTGAACACCAAATCAGATTAAAGGAGCGTCTGAGGTTGTTCTGTGGTTGCAAACTAAAAGCTTATTTACATCTGATACGTTTTCTCTAATCTTTTAGCTTTATGAACTCACAGTCTGCTGGAGAGAAAAGGGCTCAGCCAAATTAGATTAAAGTGTTTAGTGTGGTGTAGTCAGCGTGATCTGGGTCTCAGATTCATTTTGTCATAAAAAAACAAATGTTTCTGACCAATGAAGGGAAAGAGCTGGGAAAAAGATGTAGCTTGGCCTTCATGTGGATATCATTTAGATGATTTCCACTGAAGAAAAATAAGACTTGTATTTGAGTTACAGACTATGTTTTCCACCAGAAAGACAGGACTGACCTCCATGAAAATTATTTGTAAAGGGTTCAAACTAAAAGAGAAACTAAAGAGTCTGAAGTGTTCTCATAGCTGTTGTGAAAAGCAAACCAATTCCACAATAACCCCATTTCGCAATTATGAGGATCTTTGACTCTTGATGTCTAGCAGGGTTTTATGTGAAAAAGTAATAGAAAAAACATGGAAAAACAAAAAACAAAACTCAAGTTTGCAATATGGTGTACTTTATAGTCATTTGAAAAAAATAAGGAAGAGGGACAAGGATGCATTCATACAATATAATGCATTTACTTTACATGTACATATTTTTTTGTTTTTCCATTTGCCAGAGAACTACATTAATGAAAGGAGAATAGATAAAATAATACATTTTTGCTGTACAAATCAATGGTTCAAAACAGAGAGTGCAGAGTTTTATGCAGGAGCCACTGAAGAGACTTCTGTCTTTGATGTG